GACGAACGAAAAGGGGAAACTAGCTCCGGTAGGAGGAAGTAAATAATAACTGCTCATAAGGATCCTGGGTGAGTATCCTGCGGATCCTATTGGAACCCTTTTTGACGCGATAGGTACCAGAGGCTAGGAGACGAGGTGGAGAGAGTAGGCCACGGTTCCTTTGAAACTGCGAAAGAGACAAATTAAAGGATCCATACATCGGATGAATCATAGGCTAATCTGACAGGTCGCCCGCCCGCCACATTTGGAACATATGGTACATTCCTCGTTATTGCGGGGAGCCGCCCTCAGGTTCAAGTGCACAAATGTTAGTTCCATGGGAAGCTGCTCGAGATCATTTACGTCATTTGAATTTCTTTTTTCCCTCCGGATAACACGACTTTAAGAAAAAGGAGAAATATGTTTTTGTTTAGAACATGTTAACAGACTTGTTTGTCCAATACGAGCTCTCGAAGGAAGGGGAGAACTCATGATCTGGTCACATACCTAGGCCTAAACAGTACATACATCATCTCCCACATAATCCTAATCCAACCATTTCGTATTTTGTTTTTCCTTGCCCTAAGAATCTGATAGAGATAGAGAGAAAGAAAGCCTCGGCTGCCTAGTGGCCTGGTCTGGTACCTTGTTCCTGAAACTGGCGTTCCGAGCCCTCCGGGTTATGGGTCATCTTCAGCGTGGCTTATTGATCCCATCCTCTTTTCTTTTTTATTATTTTGTTATCCGCTCTATCTATTCTTATCAATAATAAATAAGGGAACATTCTCCATAGCCTGACTGGACTGAGGACAAGTGACTTGGTCTCACCAGTAAATGAAACATACGTCATTTATCTAGAATAATCGTACCCCGTGTGAGGTGAGGTGAGAGTGTAGTAGGGCTGTGTGCGTGTGTGTAGCCTTGTTTCTGATTATTTCATTTTCACGAGTGAGACTTGATGATTCGTTAGTCTGGGGTTGGAAAAAACAAAACATCCTTAAAGTTGACTTACATTAGTATCAGGTACGCATGCACGCACGTTTGAAACGCCTTTGATCATGAGATTCAAGTGCGCGCAGGTTTTACGTTCCTGAAAACTTCAAGAACCTGGAGATGTTAATAATTCGAAACCGGCCCTGTTCCTCCTCGTCTCGTGGCTGATGATGAAATTATACCGAAGCCTCCAGATATATGACAAAGAAAAAATGGGTGTCTAGTGAAGCTAAGAACGCGCAACGTCTCATGCCCCCTCTCTATACACGGTATATACGCATTGTCGTCGTCCGCCGGCTGTCGACTCCCGCAAAAGACCCCCGAACCGCCAATCCCCTGTTTATTCATGTATACGCGGAGGAGGGCGCTTACTCGGCAGATTTAAAGTAAAGGTGGGATCTGTCAACGGGATCTGTCGAACCTGCTTCTTTGCCTGCAGCATATCCACATCCACATCGATATCCATGTTGGTGGGAGGTATAGAATTTGGCAACGCGGAACGGTTACTCGGCCTGTTGCCTGCTTGCACCGTTTGGAAGCTACCAGTTTCGTTATTGATTTACGTTTAGTAATTTACTTTACAAACTTGATTTATCTACCCACCAGTATACTTGTACTCTATGTACATAGTAATATGCATATAGAGTAACCTGTATATGTGTTTATTTGGTAATTCTAGAGTACACAACTATCAACCTCCGAGTCTCTCTAGTGTAGAGTCAAGTACCTATAGAAATACATACGTATCGGTAGGATTTTAAATAGGGCAACCTTCTCCGGAACATGACATAGAATCCCTTGCAGTTCTGATTTTTTTTTTCTGGAGGTTCTAATCGCAACTAGCCGGTCCGGTAGAGTATATGAAACCACCCGATAAGATAATGAAGTTCTCCACCCGACTGCTATTGTTCCGATCCCGGATCTGGACCCCCGCTAGGAATCACCATGTAGTGGGTCATTTGCGGGGAAAGATAGTTCATATCATGGGACGTTAAATATGGAGGCTCGAGTTCCTGTGGGTTTTTCTTTTAGTCTAATCCCGGGCCGGGTGGGTTTCCGATTTGTTTAATATGGATTCATATTTTATTGATCACTTATTTTTATGACCTTTCTGCTGATTGTATTAGAGAGCAAGTATTGCATTCCAACCGGCAGCGTAACCAGAAGGTTATTTGACTTAACGTTGATTGGTTGGAGGTTGATTGGATGATTCCATGATTGGTTAAGATTATAGAAAAAAACAAGAGGATGTGATTGATTCTGAGGAAAGGTAAATTTGTAGAACATTATCCGCCACAATGCTTTTTCAAGTGTGGGTTGGTACTTCAGTTAGGTTTCGCAAATACTGGCTGCAGTACTCAACAAGGTTGCATGCAAGCAAGATGGAGAGACTTGGTTGTGGCTCCTGGACAACCAGTCAATCATAAATTTAAAACAAAAGAACCTTTCTGCGGTCCGATATGAAGAATGAGTACATGTAAGTCCAAGGGAATGGTTTAGAAGAGAGGGGGTGTAATTAGAATCGAAAGGGCTGCAAAGATCGAGTCTCTGGTACGTCGTACACGTTTCCCCGCTTCCGATGATCTTACAGGAAGTGTGAAGGCGGGGCAAAGTGATTGAATCGATCACTGCTGTTGTTACTGCTGTGGGGGTGCCCAAGGGCGCCAGAGAGATGGCTTTGTACCCCCATGCTGGGTGGACTCGGTGAATGCGGTTGGCATTCGATTTTTATTTCTGCAGGGAGCCTGTCGTGTATTCTTTTTACACTTGAGGGATGTGCTCTACAGACTCTACAGTAGAGTAGAGTCCACGAATTATCTGGGTTTGCGTTCTTGTAGCACAGAGAAGCAGTATGATCATTGAACTGCGAATAGTCTCCTCAAATGGTAAGAGTTGCATAGGATTTCCCCATCTCTTCTTGTAGGTCCACTTCGAGCTAGTCAGTTATGTTAAGAGAAACATGATTTCAGATTTCAATGCCAAGAACCACTTGGGTGTTCCGGAAATGCCGTTTTTAATCTAACCATATTTGGATTGATATTATAGACGTCAATTGCTTGCCTAGCATCCCGGCTTTTTGCTGCTGTTCCTTTGTCTGGTAGATATGATATAATTGAACTTTCTTTTGGGCGCTTCCTTACTTCGGCGGTAGACGATTGTTGTTCAAGAAACCCAATTAAGAGATTCGATCTTTAATCTCCGTGTTAACTGCCCCAGTGCACGTGAGGAGTCCCAGCGAACCGTGTAATTATAATTATATAAACGTATATAATATAGACAGCAACCATTGAGTTCCATATCTAAAAGCACTCTACAGAGTACAGGCTGTATACGACTGTATAGGCTTTAGGTAGGCTCGCACTGTGCTTTAGGTACTAATCTTCTGAGTACCCAAGGGATGCGTCAAGGTGCAAGTTTCACTAGTGGAAATAGGGATGCCCCATTCATTATTCATATCGATTGTTGTGTAAACTGAGGTTTTTCGCTGCTGGCGTTAGTTCTATGATAGAAGCTCTCCGAGCCAAGAAATCTGTCCATCATAGTACATACCCGCCATGCAGCCCATAATATCCAGTCGAAACTTCCATTGAGGGGAAACAAAACAGAGGAACATTCCTCGTACCTGCAATGTCTCGTTAACCGAGACTACGTTCCACAAGAGGGGGTAACTTACTTCCACTGCGTCATTGGTTTGCGTTATGATTCGTCAAAGCCATGACTGGCATCAAGCCCCAATCCAATCTAAGTAGCAACCTTCTTGATATATTGAGAGCTGACTTATCAAGCAAAGAGAACAAAAGCTTGTCTGAAGGTACTGGAACAAGTCATTGGATGAATTACATTTGTGGGCTTTCTATTGGAGGATTGTGTGAGGCCAGGAGCGGTAACATTGAAGCGTTGAATGCTTATGTATATGTATACTCTACATCACGGAAGCGAGGCGACGCATTTCAATATCCACATTACAGTTTCTTACTCAAGTACACGAAAGCTTAAGGAAACATAGACTCGGCAGTACATGTAACATACATGTATGTAGTCACTAGACTACATGTAATTAAGACCGAGAACAGACATCCCAATTAACTGCAACTCGGAAACAGGTTGAATAAAACAATGTAATTCAACTTGTAAACCACAATTGACATTAGAGGTATGTAGGACCGGCGTGTTTGGGGAATAAACTTTGTAGCCCGGGCTGGCTGTCCCAGCACTTCCTATCTGGACTGAGACACATTCTTGCTGATTGTGAGGGCCATCATGTGAAAGCTGAATTGGAAATGCTTGGCAATCGCCTGACTCGAGCTACAGGGTAAAATAAATTTCCGGGAATAGGATGTCTAGATCATAGACCCGAAAGCGGTTTTATACGGTCATATACATGTAAGCACCGTACCGTCCAATCCTTTGTAGATTGCACGTACACGTACATTAGATGTATACATACAAGCTTGCTCTGGGAATTGGAGGTTCTTATTAAGTACATGTACATATAGGCAGGAGAAGAATAGGTTGAATGAAGGTATCAACAGCGGAAGAACAAGAGGAACAGCAAAGGAGGAAGAGGGAAGTGTTAGGTCGTTGGGGGGATCCGAGACAGATGCTTGACGGTAGGATGTGGCTGGACAAGACATGAGGGACAGGGACAAGACAGGCGTGGGTATGCATGGAAAACTACTAGGCCTTTACGGGTGGCGGGGTAAATAAAAATTCTCAGAAGGGAACTAGGTTTCTCGATGCGATGCAGACGATGCGGACGCGTTTGGTGGGTTTAGAGTAACGGGAGAGATGAGGATAAACCGAGGGAGTGTCGGAGAAACATAAATCGCAGGAGGAGTCCGAGAGTCATATTATTGAACATCAGATTCCTTCCTTCCTCCCTTTTCTCCAGAATTTCATGATTCACTCTACATACCCTGTGGATCGGAGAATCACCCCTTAACAAACACAACTGTGTATAGACGACGCTACGCAAATTGCGTAGGCATACATAAACATAATTCATTGCCAGTATCAACTACGAATTCATGGGGATGTTTGTAGGTTTCCCTCTCACTTTTGTGCGGATATGAAGTCAATTACATGTATGTATACATTGCATTTATTAGAGGGAAAAAATGTGGAACAAGAATCAGAGTTTGTCCCCGCGTAACCCCTCCTTTGCCAATGTAGTGTGGGAGCCTCGAATTTCAATTACTGGCCTCTAAATTTCCACTCCGCTTCGCCCTCACTTCTTTTTTGCCATATCTTTTCTTTTTGCCTGTTCATCCATCTCATCGCCATCGACTCCCAAGGGTTGTCGTTTCCACACTCGCCCTTCTTTTGTCTGAGTCCTTCCCCCGCCCTGACATCCTCCACTCCCCAAATTCGCCCCACCAACGGTGACGAACGTAAGAAGGAAGCAGTATCATAATAGCCAAAGTACACCCTACTTGCCTACTCTGATAGTGTCGTCTTTGCCCGTACGCAAACAACCAGCTCTTAGCTATCATTCACCCCCACCCCCCTCAAAATCTACTACCCGCATCACCCGTTTCCCTCCTCCGTCTCTTTTTTTTTTTGGTGTGATCTACTTGAGGTTTGCGACCCTCATTTACCGCTTTGCCCTGCCTAGCGATCCTTCCACCTCCCACTACTACCAAAGCAGTCACGATCACTGAACGCCTCATAGATCTCTGCACTGTAAGTCTAAGAAAAGAACAAACAGAATTTTAAAAATTCGTTTCAAACACCAAAAGACTTTTTTTCATAAGTCTGACCTTAAAGTGTGATTAGGAACGGTAAACCCCCATTTCCATCCCAATTGTGTTTTTCTTTCACCTGTGGCTTGTGCCTGACAAACTTTCGGCGGTGTCGTGTGTAATTCCTCCGCCTTCCGGTTACTTTTTTTCCGCGTGGTTTTAAAGTGTCGTCGCTGACCATCGTCATCACTGTTTCTCTTTATCAATCAAACAGATTCTAGGAAAGTACTACGACGTTTACAACGGTCTTTTGAGTCCCTCGACTCAGAAATCTTTGTGTACGATACATCGTATTCCTTCTCAAGGAATCTAGCAGTTCCTTTTTTCCTACCGCTTGAGCGGATCTCAGGGAGATTGTACCCGGTTACCTCTCGGCTCCTCGCGGCTTGCCTGACTTTGTCCTTTCCTTCCGCCTTCCACCTTACAGCCGTCCACCTTCCTCCAATTCCTCACGGCCACTCGGTGACTCTTTGATCAAGATTTACTCTTCGTCATCCCGTACGTCTTTCTACCGAATAGCGTCACAGTTTGCCCACTCCAACTTGGACCTTTTTTCCACCCGATCAAATACACCCCACAGTTGCACTCACCTACAAGGCTGACACATCCAACCATCGACGAACTCTTGGTCATTCTTCCAGAACTTCTAGAAAACCCCCGTCGACCCATCCCCATCTCCTCTTCTACATACAAGTTGCGGTGAAAGGCAGCGTGTCTCCACCTGTGTGTGTGTGTGCGCGTTACAACTGAAGCTCTTTGTGAGTGTGTGAAGAGCGGGCGAGCACCGGCTTCTCCCGCCATTTGTGAAAGCAGAAATCGTCCAGGTTTCCCTACGACCTTGTTGACGGCTCAATCTCTTCACAGGACGCACTGGAACAACCCCCCGCCTTTCAAAGGATACCCCGCTAGGAATAAAAATTTCATTCCACATTATTCTTCCCTCACCACGGGTATAGGATCGAATTCTTTTCCTTTCAGAGAATAAGATATCATGACTACTACGTCTGCTAGCAGACCCATAAATTCGTCAGAGGCTACTTTCTCTTACGCTGCCGCTGCGTCAGGAAAAAATTCTGCTAGCTCAACTCCCACAAACAAGTCACAGACTGGTGGATTGTCTAAACCTACAGTCCCCTCATCAAACGTTGCTGGAACTTCAGTGTCTTCGACTTCATCGACAGCACAAAACATGAACGGCAGTACACCAACCACTGGGACCTCCACCCCGCAGTCGACATCTATTGCCGATTCACATGTCAAAACGAATGGCGATGCGATCGCTCAGTCTTCGTCTGCTGTGTCATCTCCAAATCTGGGAGTAGGGTCGGCCCCTACGTTACCAAGGGAGGACGAATCAGCCTCATCCATGTCGGAGGACAAAGGAAGTTCCTGGGAGAAGCAATCCCAAACGTCAAGCCATACAGAGAATAAGCCCTCCAGTGCTGGTAGTAGAACACCCGATATTTCCAAAGCCACTGACTTGGTTCCTGCTGCTCTTCCAGCAGTGAATATTTGGAAGGTAAGATCTGAAAACTTAACTGCCAAGAAGCCCAGTCCCACTGCAGCCGCAGCCGCAGCCGCAACTGCACCATCTGCCAAGACTCCTGCAAGCCCAAGCAACGCCATCGTTGCTAAGGACAATGTAGATAAGTCGGCGGAACAGAGGCAGGATAAGAGGAAAAAGCCGTTCGGCGAGGGCTCAGATGTTGCAGAGAAAGAAAGATCTAAGGAGGGGTCTAGTGGGGTTAAAGATGTTCCGGCCAGGGAGTTTAGAGACCGGAAGAAGAGCACTGATGCCGGAAGGGCCAATGGCTTTGCGAGCAAGGAGGATGGTATTTATATTCTTTCTTTCTTTACTTTTTTTAAATAATATTCCTACGACCGCCACAACGGACTAATTCATTTTCGGGAACAGGACCAACTATTCGAAAAACACCAAGGAAGTACCCGCCGGCAGAAAAAGAAGCGACTGCTCCAGTTCTTCCACCGCCTGTCACGGATACCGAGTCTTGGCCAACACCAGAGATTGCACAAGATGAGGTCGAGAAGGCTAAAAGGGACAAAGATGAGAAGGATAAACCCGCATCGTCCGTACTCCGGCCCGGTAGGGGTAGTACGTGGCTTCCTGTTGCAATAACCATACCGCATGTTCCACCATTCGCCAATAAGCCAGGGCGGGGAGGAAGGGGCACCCGTGGTGGTCGTGATGGTAGCAGCAGGGGGGGTTTAAGCACAGTGCCATCATCGTCCTCGCCCAACGGCGATAAGCACAATGGTGGCACATTTGGGGCTGGGATAGCAGTGGAGGGCGATCGCGGCCGTCAAGGTTCTAGTTCTGGTGCATCTCGAGGGGCTTACCAGGGAAAGCCAAGTAAGCGTGCTACCAGTGCTGGCGGCACTACACAGCGTCGTGAGTCAAAGGGCTCTTTGCCCATCCCATCTTCCGAGAAGAGGAAGGACTCGGCGGTGTCTCCAGAGGTCGGTGAACCGACTGCCGAATCGACCCAATCCTCAAAGACAGCATCTGCCGGCACCCAAACTCACGACAGAGCGCGCCAAGGTTCGAGGTCGGACGATCCCAACTTTGTCCCACAAGGGGATGGTCGTCATTTCTCCGAGGGCCAAGACAGGACTCATCACAATGCCAATGGACATTACCATCCTAGGGAACGTGTGTACAATAACCAGGGCTTCAATAGCAACCGCCCTGAGCACCACGGGGGCGACAATGTTTCGTCACATGGCCCAAGAGAACGTGGTTTTGAAGGAGGCCGTGGCCGCGGCCCTAGAGGGCGGGGGAATTACCATAACCAACAATATATAAACGGACACAATGGTGCGCATCATCAGAACCCTGGACCCCATTTTACTTCCACTCCTCCCCATTTCAATGCTCACCAAACCAATGGTCAATATCCAGCTCAAAATTCGCAGTCTTCACAGCGCCCATTTAGAGGTGGATCAAGGTCGCACCCGGGTCCCAACAACGGGAACTACAATAATAGATATCCAAACCCGAATATGCAACCACCCCCGCAAATCTATATGCCGTCCTATCCTCTCCCATACGATTTTAGCATGATATCCCCAACCGGCATCCCACCACAAATTGAATACACCGGAATCAGTGAGATCATTGCTCAGATGTAAGTTTTTAAGAACATTCTTCATGCCTGTGGCTTTTAGAGCTATTGTTGACTTTCGCACAGCGAGTATTATTTTTCAGTTGACAATCTTTGCAAGGATATGTTCCTGCGAAAACATATGGACAGTGATGGCTTTGTCAAGCTTTCCCTCGTTGCGGGGTTCGCTCGCATGAAAAATTTGACCACAGACATGAACATCTTAAGAGAGGCCTGTTTGAGATCCCACGAGATACAGATTGCCCATGGTGTTGATGAGTTTCACGTAAGAAAAGCAGTTGGGTGGGAAACATGGATCCTGAGCGAAAAAGAGCGTGATCCTTCGGCTCAATGTGACCAGACCAGCTGGCAGATTGATCCAAGACAACGCAGCCAGCAAAATAGTAATTCCGGCTCACCCCTCGAGATGTCTGGCTCCGCTGCACCTTTCATGCCCGGTCCTATCAGAGGTCAGGGCCAGAACGCCATTGCACCTGGTGCTCCACCTTTCGTTCCTTCAGGCATATTCCCTCCAGTCTTTGCCACCACTCCCCTGTCGGCCAACGTTCCCGAGTTCTCGCCCAACGGCGCTGTATATTTAAACGGAACGGCAGAAAACTCTCGGTCTGTTCCCGACGAGTTCTTTATTGAAGATTCACAGAGGTTAGTTGTCGTTACAAGGCGCCCTGGACATACATCCCCCTTGGGATCTCCTATATCTGGGATCAATGGTGTGAGTACCAACGGCTCAACGTAAGTCAATTACACCTCGTATAGACCGCACTCCTTTCCTTTTCTTACACATGTATATAGGTCTTCTATCGTGAATAGGCCATCATTTGGATTAGACTCTGAAGTTGGGTGGCTCTTGAAAGAGGACAACCAAAGCTTAGAATCCGATAGTTACATTCACAGGTTGTATCCACATGCTTTGTTGCAGGCTCAGCAACAGCGCGAATCTTCCGGAGCCACCAAGAACTCGGAAATGATCACTCTCTACAAATTCTGGTCTCATTTCCTCTGTGCCAAATTCAACAACTTGATGTATGAGGACTTCCGGCGATACGCATTCGCGGATGCAGACTCCTCTCAACGGTTTGGGTTAGAGTGTATTTACAAGTTCTACGAGAACGGACTTGTGACTCGCGAGTACTTCCATGATAAATTGATCCAGGATCTTGTCGCTTTGGTCAAGAAGGACGCAAAAAACGGTCAGGACCTAGGTCTTGAGAAGCTTAAATCATTCTTGTCAAGCCCTCAGCTGAGTGTTGAGCGGAAACAGAAGATTGAAAGCTTTGTGGATTCGGAGCTTCAGTTCGTGCTTCAGAATGGTGTGGAGTCAAAGGATGGATTGGTGGAATCCTATGCTGCTGTACGCAACGCATATACCCTTTAGTGATATCATGACTGACAGTGTTTATAGTGAAAATCTGTCGCGGTATGAGTCGGCTACTTCAAGCTTATCTTCAGGGGTAGTGGGATTCCGTACGCAAGATATTGCATCCTTTTCTCTTGAAATCTCTGTGATATTACAGTTTATCGTCACCGAAAATGTTCGTTTTTTTTTCCCCACTTTTCCGCAAACTAGAATTCTTTCTCCTCATTTTCAAAGATCACTGTTTACTCACTTAAAATCCGCTTTTCTTCTGTTCTAATACGGCGCCCAATTGGTTTTGTTTCTTTATTCTCATTCAAATTTCTAGGTGGCTGCACCTTCTCTTTTAAACTTATTTGCCCCAAACTCATTTCCTATTTATTCCTTCACTCCTATCATTGTTTGGGACTATCTAGTATTTGGAGCTAGCTAGGGAGTTTTCTGCAGCTAGAAGTGGGCAGAAGGCATTCAAAAGGGGAAGTATCCGATGCTTACAAAGATTTGGAGGGGCATTCATCAGTATTATCCTCTACCCTCCCAGTTTATAAAACCGTCATGGGCAGCAGTTTAAAACTTGATGTTAACTTCACGTACATAGTTACTCTTTTCACAGCTTTTCCTATCCCCCTTCATTGTTTTTTTTTTTTTTTTTTTTTTCTTTTTTTACTTTTTTTCTTGATTTGGGTGTGCTGTGCGCTCTGCCTAAAAAAGGATAGTATGAGTGAGGGTGGGGATGGTTTGGATCGACATTCTTTTTGCGAAAGATGGATGCCCTATGGAAATATCGATACTTTTCGGGCGAGTCTTTCCAGGAAACTTCTGTTATTGATGGCTAGGCTCCTAAAACATCATGTTGGGTCATTAAAGGAAAAGGATGGGAAAAAGAAAATTGTCGGAAAATCTACTAAAAAATAACGGAGAGCCTCTGTTTTTCCCTTGTGTATTCGTGTTTGGGGCGGTTGGGAGTTGTTCTTTGTTTGTCATTTCTTCTTCGACGTCAATTCTTGTGTATCTTTATCTCTTCCCAGCCTTCGTCCTCTTCCTTAGGGTTATAACAATGGTGTTTTGTGTTTCTGTCTCCTGTTTTGTTTACGTATTCTTTGGGCTGTTAGCTCTGCATTGCGTGTTGTGGGCTACCTATGTGCTATGTCTTATGGACTTGGAGTGGGGTTCGAAATTGTGAATTGGGTAAAAGAAAAGAGTTGATATGCGTATAGGATTGATTGACTTTTTACTGTGTGACCAAAGGCCTCAGCCTCCGTCGCAGCTGTTGCGGACTCGCTCGCTCTTTTTCTCTTTGTGTGTAGCGTAAAGCGTTCATGCTAATACCCCAGAGAAAATAAAACAGTTTGTTGCTAGAATTGTTGTTCAATGATTTTGGATGAAATCGATTCATTACGTAGCAGGGTTATGTTTATTTAATCGAGTGAGCGCAGAGCTGCATGATGCAGGTGTACGTACGAAAATACCCGGATGGACATTCAAACGTCAATGATGACTCACTCCTCTCGGGTGCGAGTGAGATGTTATGACGCAACTGCAATACCATTTGCCTATCGGGCGAGTCGTAAGATGTTTACTCATGAATCATTCGATCGACTGAAGAATTCTGGGGCTGGTATCATTAGTCGCCTGCTGCCCACTTTCAATAGTGGGGATAATACTATATTCCGATAGCTCCAGTTGTCGTCCAACGGGAATCTAACATTGTCGAATAGACAACTTCAAAAATTATGAGCTCTTGGTATTTGTTGCTGCAACCAATGTCCATTAAAAGCCAAGAGTTTAATGGAAGATGTTACACCATAAAGATGGCTGTGCACCGGATAACCAGGTATGCCTGTCACGTGAGCCCGGGTCTGCGCGTCCAAACCCCCAGTGGACACCACATCAAGGCAGCAGTTGCTATTTATATCCCTGCTTGCCCTAAGCCCGAAGCTTTGTATGAGGCTGCTGTTAATATAAACTCCTCTTTCTGAATTTAATCTCCGAACCACGATAACTCAAAGTTGCTTTGACCCAATGTTTCCATTCAAGAAAGTCTACAACGCACTCCAAATTAACTCTTCATCATCAAAACAAAGCACAAAGAGGCCCGACTCAATATCCATTCCGCTTCGCCAGCTATCAATACGTACGGTCTCGGAGGACGACAACGAAGATGTCGATCGTCACGTGGTACAACAACAACGCAAAGCTCCAACCTTGCCAGCAGATGTATGGTTTTTGATACTGCCGCAAGTCGACTACACTGAGAATTGTACTCTGTGTAAACATAAGCAGCTGTATACCCTATCATTGGTATGTCGGGTCTTCAACGAGTTCGCTACAAAAGCGCTCTATCAAACACTCGATTTACGACTTGAGGATGCTTGCCTTGAGGTGCACGGGGATTCGTTGGATTCCTATAATAACGAGCCATCCTTCCTTAGAGAAAATATTTTAAGGAAGAAGCTCGATAGATTAGAAAGCACGCTGCGGTCACCAGAGGGGCCAGCGGTGCTTATTCGACATTTGAAATTCCCAGTGATTGAGCTTCGCTGGAAGATGACTTATGGTCCAAATGATATCAATCCGGCACTATACACTGGCCTATCAAGGGGGGTGTACAATTACGGCAGAGATGAACCATCGGCCCATTACAGGCCGAAGGTAAGCACACATGACGAGTCGCAGTTGTATGTGCGTCCGGTAATGCGCAGAACGGATCTTGCCCTATGGAAGAACAACATCTCGGTTGGTATCTTGCCGAAGTGGATCACCATCTTTGAACTGGCATCAGCTCGGTTAGAGTCGGTTTTTGGTCTGGGAAGTCTGTGGACGTATATCCACGAATATGAGAGAGATGTGTTGCGGGAGAGGCTTTTTGATGCCATTGAGAAGAATCAAAATTGGGTTGAATGGGACTGGAGATGGAGCTCTTGGGGATACTCTCAACATTCTGCCGAGGCTATCTTGGAGGAGCCTAGACTGCTTGAGATTTTCAGCAAGATGAAAAACATTCGGAGCATTCAACTGGATAAAACAGAATGGGCAGACAAAATACTTGAGATCTTCCCAGGGACGCTTGAGTCTTTAACCATCGAATCGCTCAGGATAGGCGGTTGTGATTTCGATTTCATGTTCAAGAGGCTTCCAACAAAGGGACTGAAGTCGTTGAAGATCATAGTCAGCGAGTCCTACTTCAAACCGCTTGAAAAATGCGACCCGTTCAAACCACTCCTTGAGTACCTGAAGCTTTGCCACCAGCAATCCGCGGCGACCCTGACAAATCTAGACTTTCAGGTCAACTGGAATCTCTCAAGTGCCTCATACAAACTTTGTAACGACCTCGAAGGTACATATCTCGGAATGATGCCCGTCGAAGAGTTTCTCTCATCAATATTCATTTACGCCCCACTTCTTCGTACTTTCACCTTTGTCCTCGCAACCACTCACGAGGACGAAGTTCAATACCCTCCGACTGAGAAGCCAATGCCTTTTATAGCGCACAATCTCCGCTCAATGAGCATATCCCTCCCTGCACGAAACAACAAGTTATGGTTTGCGACCAAAATCAGTTCTGGGGCATTCCCGGCGCTACGAAAGTTCACCTTCCGATCTGCATTTTCGCGGAACAACGGGCCGAAACAGACCTGCACAAGATGTGTGCATTTAGAATGGCCTGAGATTAACAAGTGGTACGATTTTGCCAGTGAGCAAGATAACTTACTTGTCGAGGCATGCAGGAAGGCGGGAGTGAGACAGTGGGAGATGGAGGTTATGAACAGACCGTGGGTATGCTTTGGCTCTCAATATACCTAGATTAAAGGCTCTTATTAATGGTTGAACAGGCAGAATGCTCCTCATTCACGCTGGAGGAGTCCTGTGAAGACGACCCGAAAAACCTCTATTTTCGGCCCCCACAGAAGCACCTCACTGACTACGATGCTGGCCTGTTCTTCTCGGGACAGTCGGGTCCCGCCGTGCCTCGTAGAAACTCACCAAAGCGCAGAAACGCAAGGGATATTGTGACGTTTGTACCATAATCCACCGACTCTTTGCGTACCAACTAAACCCCATATCTAGGCCAGGTCAAACCCTGACTCGGGGAACGGTCTGCGATGTCTTCGCCCCCACCTTTGGGATTGGATACTACCAGCATCAGAACAACTCGATTCTACTTGCAATGATTTCCGCGCCAAGTGGTATGACAATAACCGTTCTGCACCATTTAGATAATGATTCTGATGAGGCTTGTGTTGAATTTAGCGCGGAGTCCAAGGGGTTCAAGAATAAACGAAAGGGTAAGCTGGGATAGCCATTTTGGCACCAGGGCGGCGACTCTATAGAGTGTTTTACCTTATTTTTTCCTTCTTTCTTTTTTTTTTCCCATTATTGGGTTCTGGTATTGATCATGGGATATCACTCGTTGCTCTATCAGTTTGTTAGCAATGAGTCACGATTAGTTATGAGGAAACGATTTGATGAATTACCTATAAAGTAAATATAGGAATAGCCAGCGACTGTTTGATTGTGTTGAAAGACTTAGGCGGAGATCTGGGGGAACGTCGTCGAGGGTTTAGCTGTTGCATGACACTCCTGGATATCGTCATTTGTTGTTAAAAGCTCTCGGAGAGAGCTCGGACCATGATCTGGCGCATTTGAGTATGAGTCGCCATTTACGTTTGTGCCTGTCTATCCCCTTGTCTTTTATACACCGTAAGATCTTATAGACACTTACGTGGTGCAGCGCATGAGCTGTTTTGAGTTGAATCGGAGGAAACGTGACTCATTGGGAACTCAGGCTCGTAGGTTTCGAGCCCCTGAGCTAGCATAGCTCACATTCTGTCTGAAAAGTATGTAAATCCATGCACGGGGAAGAATAAAAAGAGCCGCATGGTTGCAAGATCGAGCCTGAGCTCACGAAGACTGATGAAGGGGAACCGAGTCTATAAAGGTTCTTAAGCAGTGTGTTTCTATATTTAACTCAGGCCTCCAAACCTGACGATTATTACGGCTGATCGGTTCCTAATACCAAAATACAAAGTACAGCAAAACCTATCATAATTCCGCCCCCGTGGTGGCCGAATTTTGCTGGAATTATCGTAGGGATGGAATTTAGAGCGAGGTATTTGTTAGTAAACTGCTCCCTCCAAACGCTGGAAGTTTGGTAGGGATGGAATTTCGAGAGGGTGGAATTATGATAGGTTTCTCTGTATAGATGAAACGTACTAAGTCTTAGTGCCCAGGGGAGTTTCCCCCGCATGCTAAGGACTCGTTATTCTTAAGAAGCCGAAGGGGAAGACAGATGAGGAGGGAGAGGAGAGGAATGAGAGGAAGGAGGGGAAGGGGGGGGGGGGAATGGGAGATAAATAGGAGGAAAAGACAGTCACAACCAATGAATGTCGACATATGAACAGCATTGACGGAAAATTGTGTTGTTTACGTACGTATCTTGTCACAGTGTTTAGTCGAGATAGTTGGTTGCCCATATCGCCAAAAGCTGAAGTAGCTACCTTTAGTAATATGCCGTCCTTTACCCAGCCTTAGGTCAGCCACGTTTGGCACACTTACCTCAGCAGCCAAAGGCAGAAAAGTCTTTGCTGGCCCACTAGAACTAACAAATATACATGTACATAATTATGATGGGGCGCCTTGACTATGATTTCCCTCCCTTCCTTCCTTTCCCCATCAGCCCTCACACATGCCTAGACCCATCATCCTCTGAGTATAATTGGGAATTGCAACTCTTCGCATTGTTTTCAGATGAAGGCGCGTTCTGCTGTATTGTGCCCATCCCTCTATCCCTTTGACCGTCACTTCTTGGTCCGAAGGGCCGGCCTACTATCGGCTAGTATAGTTAGAAATGCGGAAGAAGTATGTATGCGCGATAAGCTATAACGGGTCAATTAGGTTAGCTTTGGGTGTAATATTATTGATTATTTTATCGGGCATGTTAGATCTGGGGAGGAATAAAGTCCATGGACTGCGCTGTTCGAGGTGCAATAACTACAAACTAGGTTTCTTGGCATGGCGCGCCTTATGCACTTTCGTCGTTCCCCTCGTTCATCTTCTGACGTTTGCGAGGTGAAGAACCAATCTGGGCCTAACCATCTTTTTCTTTTTCTTTTTCTTTCGTTTTTTGGTACGTCTAACGGCCAGCTCCATCCTCTCCAGGACCCAATTCATTTCAGATGGGTTACCGGTATTACAACGTTCCCTATTCCCACCCACCTTTTAATTCCAATATTTGCACTGTCACCAGCCTCTCGTGCACGTGACAAACTTAACTCACGTAACGCTATAGCTATTAAAACAAAGAGCCAATAATCTCACCGGCTAAGCCTGCAGTTGACGACTTTCTTTCAATAACCAGGGTACGCTATGAAGTGCGAGTGAGATTTTTCAAGTATTTTATTGGCCATTTGGGCGTTTTTGCTATCCATCTTTGGCCCATAATCCATCATAATAGGGCTGTCTTTGGATTGGATACACCAGGCCGAGATATTTGTGAACAGCACTCTCTCGCGCTAGAAGGATACGATCAGGACTTTTTATCCTTATAGGGAATAATCACCCTAGAGGGTTCAGGATTAAGTGTTAAAGGTTGACGAGACCGGGAGATCTTATCCTTATAGCTAGGCCTATAGGGCATATCTAATAAGTATATAGATATACCGATATGCAATGTGTTATTTAAAGGTTTTGATTGGCCAGGTTTGAGGGGTTTTCTTTTTCTCTATCAAATATGTTTGTCAGTAAGTAGATATTCTATCAAATATGTTGGAGTTAGTAGATATTCTATCAAATATGTTTGAGTCAGCCAGTAGATATTGGTTCTAACATACTTTGAGTTAACTAAATAGTATATCAGATATGTGCACAGGGCATCTTGGGGTTTCAGTGATCTTAAGCGTTGGTAAACTGATATTGTTTAAGCCATAACAGTTCCTACTCCGGCCAAAGGCCGGAAAATGCTTGTAGATAATATCTTTATAACTAGCGAGAGACTGCTGTACTAGGACTTCAATCAAGGCTTGTGGGTATCTATATGGGTTTTAATCTTGCGCATTGGCGTATTAACCTACCCCTCTCGTTGTCGTGCTCTGCTCCCTTCTGTGTGATGTGCGCTAATAACATGTGATTCCGATCATTCCCTCCATGCATCATGATCCCTGTCTGCGGCAGCAAGGATGGCACACAAAAATTAATTCCAGGAAAATACTCTCACGACTCCTTGGCGCAACGGTAGCGCGTTCGACTCCAGATCGAAAGGCTGCGTGTTCAAATCACGTAGGGGTCAATAACCTTTTATTTTGTAAACCCCAGATATCTGCTGTTACATATTCGTTGCGGTTTTGATGTGGTGGTGTGTGCGCGGTCTGCGAACAAACGAGGACTGGAAACGACACTGTAAATTCTGTGTTCTCCGCTGGAGGCCCGCACCTAGGCATGACCTTTGATACCAGTAACCAGGGCCTAAGTCTGCCTCAAAAAGCCTAGACTCAGTAAAAGGAGACCAAGCAAGCCCAAATCTTTTAAACATGACTTTGATGCCTAATACAACAACTTATTCCTCCGGCCGACAGCACGCTCCGCATCTCCTACTCCCTTAACTACTAATCGCCGGAGCAAGGTTCAAAGGTTTAGTGGCCACCTAACCCGGACCAGCATTTAATCATTAGAGCGGGAGAGAGAACGTGGAGGAGGCTTTTTGTGGGCTAGAGCTGCACATAGATGTTTTTTAAGGTCACGTATTCAGCGGTGGTGATGGCCGGGTTGTATTGTTCTAAACGTGTTTGTTTGGCTCGCATGGTTTGGTGCTACTAATGTTGGCGTGAAATACCGGGACTTGCGAGTTGGGACTGTCATCATGGAGGAATAAAACCGCCCCCCCCCCCGCCCCCCCCCCGCCCCCCAGGATGGCATGAGATACCCAAGTCAATTTTTTTGGAGAGAGAGAGAGAGAGAGAGAGAGGGAGAGAGAGGACTCTACGCTGCACTGTCATCTCCTGTTGTGTCAATAGTTTACGCACAGTTGAACTGTGGCCCTGAATGGAGCCTAAAGGCTGTTTTAACATCTGGTCCAAGTAATTGTTGGGGACTCAGATGCGGCGGCCTCCCCTTCAGGATGGGCCAGTATTAATGTCACTCGGGCCTATCGGGGGGGTACTGTGGAATATTGATACCTCTGGGGATGGATTGCTGTCTTGATGCTTTCAGCATGATAGCGGGATGTGGTCCGATGTTCGATCTCTAGATCTTGAATCTTCAATGATGATGATATTTACTTGGATATGAATGAGTCTAATCGGGGTTGAAGGTTCTAGGCATGGGTTTAGAGCGCAGGTTACAGGATTCACAACCATTAGACACTTTTCAGAACAGCACTTGTACTTTATTTTTTAGCCTTGGAATCAATTTATTAACTTTTACCTAAGAAAAAAAAAATGAGAAAGAAAAAAGTAGAGGAAAAGAAAGAAAGAAAGCAAGAAAAGCCACCTTTTACCCCAACCAGCCAGTCAAACCCGATTCTCGCCACGTTAGTCTAGTCACATTGCATCACACCCCATCACTCGCCCTCCCTACTTCATCTCCACATCCTCCTCCTCCTCACTCTCCCACTCCTCCTCCCCCTCCTCGCCCCCCTCCCCCTCCTCCCCCTCCCCCTCACTCTCCCCCACCTCCTCCCCAATCCGCCCCCTCAGCTCCTCCGCATGCTCCCAAATCCCCACATCCTCCCACCCAAGCGCCTCATAAACCAGCCCACAATTGCCCAACCACTCCCTCGCGCTCCCCCACAGCTCCCGCCGCTCCTCCGACCCCGCCTCCTCCTGCTCCCCATACAGAAACAGACACCACCCGCCCAGATACCACAGATCCGGCAACTGGTCGTCCTCCAGCTGCAGCCGCTCCAGCACCTCGAGCGCCGCGTCGTACTGCCGCGTCTCGATCAGCAGCTTGGCCAGGTTGATGCGCGCCGCATAGCTCGGCACGCCGGCCGCGTCCGCGGGCAGCTCCCGCCACAGCGCCAGCGACCGCTGCAGCGCCGTGACGGCGTCGGCGGGCCGCTGCTGCGAGATGCGGATGGAGGCGAGGGTCTGCAGGGCTTCGGCGGAGTGTGGGGAGACGAGCAGCGCCTCGGTGACGTAGGCCTCGCAGCGCGATTCGGCGTCGGGTTCGTCGCTGCGCACATCTTGTTAGCTCTCTTCCCTTCGGGGTGGAAGGGAGGGAGGGAGGGGGGTTGTACCATAGGTCGCTCATATAGATCTCGGCCATCGCACACAGCGCGCTACACAGCTTCCCCTGCAGACCACGGTCCCCGCCTTCCCCGCCGCGGCCCTCCTGCATCCACGCGCGCAGCACCGCCGTGCCGCGCTCGTACCAGCCCATCATAGCTTTCCCGCCCACGCCCAGCTGCGCCAGCCACAGGAACTTCTCGGGGCCGGACAGCGCGCCGTCGGGGTCCAGCGCGGCCGCCTTCTCGAAGTGTGTGCGCGCCGTGTCCTCGTCGCCGAGCTCGAGGTGGGCCTCGCCGGCCAGCTCGAGCGCTGCCAGGCTGGTGGGGTCGGACTGTAGGGCGAGGGTCGTGAGGCGGAGGGCGTCCGAAGGGCTGCCTTCGGTGTGGAGGGCGGTGGCGGCGGAGGCGAGGAGGGTGCTGGTGGAAGGGGGCGGGGGCGGGGGAGGGGGAGGGGGGCCGTGGGGGTTGGTGGAGAAGGTGCTGGAGGCGCTGTGGAGGATGGATTTGGGCGTGGAGGCGGATTTTGATTTCCGCTTGGGGGGGTTGGAGCGGGTTTTGGCCATTGCGTGTGGCGGATGGCGGTGGGGTGTGTGTTGAGTAGAGAGAGGTACAGCAGCTGAGGGGATTGTGCACAGCAGCGGAGGGAGGTTGTGCACAGCGGGCGGGTGTCGTCTAACGGTGAGTTGCGCGGGTTGCAATTTTCGTGGGCTAGGCCGGGCAGGGCAACGATCGTCGCGTCGCAACCCCGCCAACAAAACGGGCGTGACTAAACACGGAAACCCCTCCTCCCTCCATGCGGGTTGGTGAAACATCTCCCACCAGCTGCAATTACAATTCTCTCTCTACAATTCTCTCTCTACAATTCTCTCTCTACAATTCTCTCTCTACAATTCTCTCTCTACGCCGCGCCTTACTCTCGCAGTTTGAAGTGCAGACAGCTGGACCATGGCGACCGAAGAGCAGATCCAGGAGATCGAGGTCCTGCAGTCCATCTACCCCGATGAGTTCACACGTGCGTGTAGCCCTGCTGGTTTTATAACTACCTTTTTCAAGACACAGACAGACAGCTGACACTGCACACTGCACAGAGGTCACGCCCACGCAATTCACGATATGCCTAGTCCTCGACCCCCCCAGCATCCCCGGCCAATCCCACGAACCGCGTACCCCCCCCTCCCCTCCCTCCCTCCCCCACCTCCACCCACAGCTAACCACCCCCCCCCCCCCCCCCCACTAGCAATCCTCAACCTCCACGTCACCTACCCCCCCACCTACCCCGACGCCGCGCCCACCCTCGACCTCAGCATCGACGCCGCCTCCCCCGCCTCCTCGCTCTCCTTCCCCGCCGACAAAGACACGCTCCTCGCCACGCTCGCGGCCACAGTCGACGAGAACCTCGGCATGGCGATGGTGTTCACGCTCGCCACGACGCTCAAGGAGGCCGCGGAGGAGCTGCTGGCGTCGCGCGCGCAGGCGGTCGAGGCGCGCCGCGAGGAGCGTCTGCGCGCCGAGGAGGAGAAGGAGATGGAGAAGTTCCGCGGCACGCTGGTGACGCGGGAGCGCTTTGTGGCGTGGCTGGGGAGGTTCAAGGAGGAGGAGGAGGAGAAGAGGCGGGTGGCGGTGGAGAGGAGGGAGGAGGAGGAGAGGGGCAAGAGGGGGGCGGGGGTGAAGGAGAAGAGGCTGACGGGTATGTTCGTTCTGGGGGGGGGGGGGGGGGGGGCGGGAGTTGTGCGGTGAGACGGTGCTAACGCGGGTGTGCGACAGGGAGACAACTGTATGAGCGCGGCCTGGTCGGCGGGATGGACGATGCGGAGGATGTGGAGGAGGATGGCGTGGAGGTGGATCTGGCGAAGTTGAAGGTGGCGGCATAGGTTTACGCCCCCCCCCCCCTTACCTCTCCTTACATAAAAGTAGTAGTAATTCAAAAAAAAAAACGAGCTCTTATTGCAAATGACCTATGACCTATTTATCTAGCACTTCAAGAAATAACACCCCGGGCATTGAACTATAGTAGTAGCAGTAGCAGTAGCAGAAAGAAAAAAAAAACCCATAATGCAATCATTGCATTGTAGCTAGTAACAATAGTAAGAAAAGAAACCCCGATGCAATCATTATATTGCATTGCGGCCAGCTAGATAGCTAGCTAGCTAGCAATCTAAGTAGCAGCTCTTTGTACCCCCACCCCCAAACCATTCCCCCCTAGCCTCCTAGTCCGTCTTGAACATATCACTCTCATCATAATCATCCCCGACCCAACCTGCCCACCCAACACACACACCCATTAGCCCACGCCCACCAAAAACCCACAACCCCCCCAGTCCCCAGTCCCCTCCCCCAAAACCAAAAACCAAAAACAAAAGAGCATACATACGCAACGTAAACTTCCCATCCACCACCTTCTCCCTCGCCGTCTCCGCATCCTCCACCGCGCGCTTCGTCGCCCAGCTCGGCACCACCCCCACCCCCACCCCCACCCCCACGCCCATCTGCTGCTGCGAAGACTGTCCCTGTCCCTGCTGCTGGTACCCCTGCGGCCCCGGCCCCTGCCCCTGCCCCTGCGAGTCGGGCGGCGAGTGCAGCGAGAGGTGCTCGGCGGGGTTGACGAGGTTGTGGGTGTGCGGCTGCGAGAGCGGCGGCGTGGACGGCGTGGACGAGGGCGAGTCGTGCATTTGGGAGTCTTCGTCTGTGCGGGGTGGGGTGTTAGTGGGATGGATGGATTGGGGGGAAAAAGAAAGAAAAAGGAAGGGGGGGGGGGGGGGGTACCGGAGAGGTTGGCCATGTTTTTTTATGGTGGTGGTGGGGGTGGTGGGAGGTCGTGAGTGAGGTTTGAGGTGAGAGGTGGAGGAGATGGAGCTGTGGAGAGGTCGAGGTGGTAATCGTTATCTTATCTTATCAGATCTGTAGATGGGCGTGGTGGGTCTTGAGGTCTGGGCACGGTTTCTTGTCAAGGCAGTGTGATCTACGAGATGGGTGCACGCATAACGAGGTAAAAATGTTTTATTGGGGTTTCGAGGAGCCAAAGGGCAGATTGAAGTCACTCATATTTGGAATAACGCCGCTGATGGTAGAAGAACAATTTATTTTATAGGAAGATATCTACGAATGGGCTTGGGCTTCGGGAATGTGTTTATTTCACACTGTTTCATACTACGCTGGAAAAGAGAAAAAAATCGTTCAAATCACCATCACATCAAGAGGATGAACAAAAACAAGAATTTCATAAATGAAAAAATATTATATTGTATTTATTATATACGCTGTAAAAATTCCGTTAGTCCTCACCAGCAGCCCTCTACTCGTTGCTATATACTATTGCTATTCCTAAATCTGAAGCCAACAAATCAGTTCAATTCCAAAACCATTTGCCAGCAACAAAAACGTGGGGTATGATAAAAAGGGGGATGGGAAAGATGTCGAGTCAGGCTCATTAAATCAGATTTTTTATGGATGTGCTCATAACGGGCAGAAACCCAATCACACAGTGTGAATAATAAATGTTTCATCATTTCGACATTTCCCGCCCCTCAAAAAAGAAAAAAAAAAGAAAAAAAAAGGAGAGCAAAAAAAAAAAAAAAGTGAGGAGAAATAGCTTACCATTAGTTGATTAGCAGTCCGGAAGTGCACTTGTAGGTCCATGGCTATCTGAGAGCGCAAAAAGTCAGCGCCAACTCTTTCCCAGAGAGCAATTGGCAAGTCAAAGGCAGAAGATGTGGGAAAACATCAGCTGACGCTCGAAATCAACAAGCACCACCCCCCGGCTTCCCGGTTTTGTACAGTGGGTCGCGGCTACCACGAGTGGTGGGGGGCGGCGCGGTTCTGTCCGCCCGTACGTTCAAACTTCTTCATTTGGTTTTTGGGGCAAAATGTTCTTGAGGGGAGGGGGTTTGTATGTACCTGATTATTGGCGGCTATGTTAGCGATTGAATGATGGAGAGATGGTGAAAGTGGGGTTGGGATGGGGGAAGAGGAAGGGATAAAGGGGAGGGAGTCAATCGCGTGTCAGACAAGGCTGAAACTTAATTGTAGACTTTATATCAACACGAGTGTTAAGAAGGAGCATAGCAATTGTCGATGTATCATCATTCAAGCGATTGTTTTCCCCAATTGTTGCGTGGTTTTGAAGAAAAGAAGAGAAAAATTGAACTAACCTTTTGAATTGCACTTCCTGACCCTGAGCCGCTGGAGGGAGGAAAGAAGACAAAAAAGTGAAATTTTTTGCGTCTGGGGAGAAGATATTAGTAGATGATGAGATGGATGAGGATAGCGATGGGGGCAAGGCATGGAAGACGGGAGGAGGAAGATGGCATCAGAACTTGGATACAAAGTCCTCACTAAAAAGTAGGAGTTGGATTGTTCAAAAGTGTATTTTTTTCTCGTCATTTGAATCTTCCAGTGCCGCAATCGTGCCAGCACAGCGGGGCAGGGAAGTAGCGAAGACAAGAAAGAGATGGATAAAGACCTACCAATTGCCAATTCCAGCGGCATCTAGGCCACGAACGCTCATCGTTCACTCACTGCCCCAGCCAGCCGTTCATCATCGTCGTCGTCGTTGCTGTTGATGATGATGATGATGATTGGGGTGAAGGGATGGGGGCATAGTCGCGGGCAGCTTTTTTGAAGTGCACCAGGGCCAGTAGAATTTTTTCCCAGTCGCATTCTTGGTGTCTTGGATACTTGGGTGTGTCTTTGTTGAGGGCTGAAACCCTGTGGCGATGCATGCAAGCACAGCCGCTGCCCGAGATGGGGGCAGATCTACATATTGCGCCCTGCCACACGGATCTCCCGGATTCTTACGTAGTAATTTGTTAGTTAAGCAGGCGGTTAGGCAGCTGTCTTTAAAGCTCCCCTTTGCCCCCCGCATTTCCCTCGTCTCTGTCTTGAATTAAGCACAAGTGCTTGAACACAGAACACAGAACACAGGCAAAGCAAATCTCACAATCTTCAAAATGGCGGTCGGGGTCCACGTGCCCCTCCGTTTCTTACGGTAAGCTTACTTTCTTGCCCTTCCCCTCCCTCGCTACTGTTCTGTTCTGTTATTGCTGTGTTCCTGGCTGTTGTGGTTGCTGCTGTGGTTGCTGGTGTGGTGCTGCGATATCACATCACTTCACTAGCACCATGAGTCGCCACACACCCAAAACACACCCACCACACCACCACATCAGCTAACACTCCCCCCCCCACCCCCCAGAGCAGCGCTCAAGCGTGGAGTCGCAATCCTCAAAGAGCACCTCCCCGCGCAACCCCACACCACCTCAAAACTCGTCCTCGAACCCGCCCTCGCTCGCCTCCCGCACCCCCAACCCGCGCGCACAAAGATCAGCAAGCGCTACTACAGCACCTCTAAACCCTACAATGCATCCACCCGCCCGTCCCACCTCCGCACCCCCGTCCGCCGCGGCCTAGTCAATCACACCGCCACCACCCCCTTCGCCTCGACCCTGCGCCCCAAGCTCGTCGGCGGCGTCCTCCCCCGCTCAGCAAGCGGCTACTCCCTCGGCGGCTCCGCACGCTACTTCTCACACACCCCCGCGGCCCCCGCACAGGTCCTCCAACAGGTCTCCGCCGCCATGCGCGCCTTCGTCTACAACAGCGCCAACAAGCGCCCCAACAGCAACACCAATGGCAAAATCGGCGTCCGTGCCCGCCTCGCCAGCGCAGTCATGGAGAACGCGCCTGGCGCATACGTCGACTTCCACCTCGCGCCCACCTTCACCCGTCTCTCCCCGCTGAACAGCGCCGGGAACAGCCTCCAGGCCGCCGGGTTTGTCGACACTCTTGGTGCTGACTTTGGTGCCATGGTCGGTGGGATCACGGCCGTGTATGCGGATGTGCAGAGGCTTGCACAGCTCGGGGATTTGCCCGTGACTGTTGCGGGCCCCGCTGGAGACGTGTTGAGGGTGCATTTTAAGGGGTGTGATAGGGAGTTTGTGGAGCTGATATGCAACGACTTTGGCGTCTCGAGGGGCGTGGTGCATGAGGATGAGAGGTTTGCCTTTTCGCCCGTTGAGGCGTATCCGATTGGCAACAGCTGGAGGGATATGATGAGTGATGACCCGCCGGAGGAGTCGGCGTACTCGGAGGATGGGTATGATGATGATCATGATATCGGGTTGATATCGGGCAGTGAGAGCGGCGGGGGGAGCGAGTACTTCTATGAGCTGGAGAGAGGCGTCGTCGTGGGTACGCCCGATGCGTCGGCGTTTGAGGATGGGGGCAGCTCAGGGTACGATGAGTATGAAGCGGGAATCTTGCGATTCCTGGCGGAGCATGATGAATATAGGAGCGTGAGCTTGTAGTTTAGTTTGGTTCGTTCTTGGGCTTGGGATTGGTCTGGTTTATCATGGGTTCAATTTGTGTTTGGTTTGCAAAGGTCATTCGGCGAGGAATAGGGGGTGTCTGTCTGTTTGTTTTGCTTTTTTTTCGTTTTTTTTAAATTGCCGATTGCTATTAGTTTATCATACAAACACGGGACTCACATAACCGCGCATCACATCATGTATCTACAGTTCGTAGTACATAGCCCTGTCACCGTCGTTCTGCTATCAGCAATAACCAAGCTCTTATCTCCCCTCAGTTACTCATATATCTCCGTGCACAACCAATCTCCTCCCGCACCATCCATCCACCCAGGGTTAGGGCCCCCTCCTTCTCCTCAACCTACCGGGTAAATAAGGTTTCCGGGCCCGCTTACATAATCACCCGGCTCACTTGCCACGTTTTTTCGCTTTCCGCCCGAAAACAAACCCTTGCTCAGCTCCTCAGCCAAACAGAAAACAACCTCCCCCATCATCCCCACCCTGCGTACATAAGAGTTTACAACAGGAATAGCGTAGCCAAATCATATAAATAGAAAATAGACGGCGATTTGTAATTGTAGCGAAGAGGCGTCAGGTACCGTTTATGTCTGCAGAAGCTGTTGGCCGACCGACCCGAGGAGGGCAGTAGGGGGGGGTAGGTGGGAGTGGGTGGCCCGTAGTGGGCACAGGGTTGGAGTTTGGGTTTGGGTTTGGGGCGGGTTTGCTTTGCTTTTTTTCCTATTGAGTGAGCACTTTTTGGGGACTCTTTTCTTTTTTTTTCTTCTTCTGTTTTTTTTTGTTTCCCGTGGGTCGTGTGAGGACGGGCAGCCTGCTGACTGGTGAGATGTGAGGATGGGATGGGTAGGATGGGAGGAAACAAAGCTGTGTGGACTGTTGACCGCTATTGGGTACAGAAGCTGCACTTGTAGTTTTAGTTCTGGTTGCAGAATGCAAAAATGTTATATGCACCTCGAGAGTGATGCAGATGCGATTGCTTGCTTCTGCTTGCTGCTGATGCTGATGCTTCTTTAGTTCATAAATGTATGTCTCTGATGCGGAGCAGGTGGGGGAAGAGGGACCTAGGTAACTTTACTAGACCAAACCGCGGAGACAGAGACAGACCGTGATATGGGGGATTGTGCAAAAGGGTTTATTCCACTACTACCTACTACTGCTAGAAGAAGAAGAGGAGAGTACTACTACTACTGCTGCTTTGCCGCCTGAGCCTCCCCCTCTCACACTCCCTGTGTGTTTTTTCTCCCCTTCTGTGTGATCGCTTGCTTGCTGCCTTCTACATACATACAGACAGACACACATACAGACAGACAAACGGACCCCATCGGACTGTAGAGAAGACAAAGCTGCTTTTCGGTTTTCGGTAGAGTAATTTGCAGCTGCAGGGGTCAAGGGATTTGAGAGATTGATTGATTGACAGCTTTAATCACCCGCCTAGTACAGGGAAGAGGAAAGAGAAAGGCAAGCAGGCAGATACATATTTACCAGGCTATCGTGTTTAACCTCCCCAGTCCCCCTTGCCATATTTCTTCTCGGCAGCATCATCAACAGCATCATTGATCATTGTTTGTTCTGTGGCTGCCGGTGGGTTTTAGTTTGGGTTGGTTACCTCTCACTCGTTTCTCCTATCCCCTGATCGAGTAATCTCTTCTCGGTGTCTTCCTTTTTGTTGCCTCTCCACATCCACCCATCCACTTCTTCTTCTTCCCTTTCCCTTTCCCTCCTCGACACGCAATCTACTTTCTCAGCTGCTGCAGTAGCACGCATCCTCTCGTTTGAAATTACGTTCTATTCTCGGGTTTAGTGACTCTTTTTTTATCTTTTGTCTTCCATTCGTTTGTGGGATTTCACCCCCCAATTACATCACTGGCAATACCGAGCCATACTATTATACAATACCAGGGGCTCTAGCCAATCCGCCTACGTTCGTTTCAGACAGCCAACCAGACAGTCAATCCATACAGTACCAGAGAGTGCACTTCGATCTACACCAACTACACATTCACATTCACATTCGTTCATTTGTTCACCGCTTCCGTTCACTTGATTTCAGCAGCCCCCCTGGGGCACTAGGAGCCCACTGCCTACTACATTCACTCTCTCCCTAGGCCTCCCCTTCCTTTTATTTCCCCACACCCAACCCCAATGTCCTCCACATCAGATTACATGCGGTACACCGCCCCCCGCCAACGCTCTCTCACCACGCTCCGCACCACCCTCCCCGACATCTCCGAACACACCTTCCCCCCCACCTCCCGCACACCCACACCGCCTTTCCGCCGCCCCAGCAACCACCTCCGCAGCGTCTCTGTGGCCTCCTTCCACTCCGACGGCACAATCGAGATTGACGGCTTCGGCTTCGACAACATGTCCGAGATTGGAGACGACGCAAGCATCTTTGGCGGTGAGTCCGTGTATGCCGACAGCGTCTTTGACGGCCCCGACGACGCACCCAACCCGCGCCCACACACGCCAGGCGACCTCTCGTGGCGCGCGGAACGTATCCTGGCGAATGCGAAGAAGAAGCTGGATCTGTGTGGGCAGAACATCTCGAGGGCGAGGAGTTCCCTGATATTGTCGCCGTCGACGACGCCGACGAGCTTTCATGAGCAGTTGAATGGTGTGAGGGCGATGCCGGCGTTCCATTCGCAGAGATTTAGGATGAGGAATGAGGTGGTGGGTAGTGGTAACGGTGCTGGTAATGGTAGTGGATCTGCGCATGTGAGGGCTAGCAGCGAGAGTGCGGTGATGAAGTCGAGGCGGAGCGGCATGATTGGCGGTGAAGGTGGTTTCGTAGGGCTGGTAGGGCTGGGATTGGGAACAATTGCAGACGAGGACGAGCGATCCCATAGCACGGAGCAGGCCACTGGCAATTCCATCGGCCCTTCAAAAAGCACCCAGCAGATGCGGGCCTTACGAGACCAGATGAAGGACCTCCGGGGCAAGATCACCTCTCTGCAGGAGCAGGCCAAAACAGACTCTATGCGTCGCCGCTCAATCAGCTCTCTGCGCTCAACACCGACCCCGTACGACTCTCCCACGCTCGACGACCTGAAATACCACCCAGACTCCCCGCAGGAGACGTGGGAGTCCGCCGAAGAAAGCCCCGACGAATATGCGTCGACCGTGTCTTCAGGCACACCACGAGCCTACCGACGCTCTATATCTCCGTTCTCAGCTACCCGCCACGAGGACCGCGAAGACGCATTCTCATATGACGCCCTCTTCTACGGCAATGGCATCTACGCAAACGGCACAAACGGCCGCCCAATCTCATACGGCAGCGACGGGACCGAATCCACCACCACAGCTATCCTGGAGCCCACCCCGCACTTCAAGCGCCGCGACAGCTTCGACTCGATAAACTCGTTCGCCACGGCCGCCGAGGACCGCTCCTCCTCCACCGAATCGTTGCGCCGCAAGGCCGCTGGCCAGAACCACCACCCTACTCCGTCACCGGAATGGCTAGCCACCCCGACTCTCCGCGACGACGGTTATCACTCGGCCCCACATACACCGAAAAATCCAGGCTATAAGGACTATTCCCCGTCGGCGGGACATAAGCCGGCTGGGAAGCCATACCCCATACACCCGTCGCCAACACAGGATGCACCGACCTCCATCGATGCGGTTGTCACGGCTGCAACCCGCGGCAAGATCAACCGGAAATCAGTCATCAAACTCGGGTCCGCGGAATCACTGCTGCTGACCAGCGACGGCGAGATCCGCCTGCAGCTGTCAAACTCGGACCGCGAACTCATCGAGAACATGATTGAGGGCCTGGGCGAGATTTGCTGCAGCATGGAGATGGAGCAGGAACCAATCCGGCGGTCAGAGTACCGGAGACGCCTCGAGAGCGCGCTGAAGGTGCTGAGGGGCGAGGTGGTGATCGAGAGCCCGAGGCCAGAGCCGGCTCCAACAGCGCTCAAGAGGGAGAGGAGCGTTGGTGCGAACTGGGGCGGGAGGTATCGTGGTTCCTCGGGGTATAGAGCCGCAGAGGAATGGATGGGGGAGACGGATGATGAGTGCTTTTAAAAACCCGGTTTCTCTTCGCATCTTTCTTTGGCTTTTTTTTTTCTCTGTCCGTCTGTGACGATAATGAAGGTCTCATTGCCACACACATATATACGCGCGGATAAATTGTGGTTAGATCTGTTACGAAGCTTTTTTTATCATTTTTTTTTACTGTGGTAGGTTGTATATCTCCTTTGGTTGAGGATATCCGGTGTTATCTTTTTTCTTTTCTTGTTTTCGGGAGTTACTCTGAGGGTACCTTTTTTTCTGCTTTTTTCTGTTATCATTATACCATTTGGCTTATCTTTTATCTTGCTATCCTTATCTTTTCTTAGTTTAGTTCTTATTGTCTAGTGCTCTTTAGCTTTTTTTTTGGCTCTTTTTGCATTTTCGGAGGGGGAGTACGTCGGTGGGATGATGTGGATGGGGTGGGGTCAGGGACGGGGATGGGAGGATGGATGGGAGGGTGGTAAAAAAAGTATTCGCTCTTTTGAAAGTTTTATTTGTCTGTTTTTGTAGTAGTAGTAGTGCTTAGTTCTGCTATAGCGGGGTGAGGGGATGAGGTGTGGAGGGAGAAGAGAATATAAAATGGTTGTGTCCTGGAGTTCCGTTAGCAAGTGCATTCGTTCGTGGAGACTTGCTTGAAGTCCTTTAACCCAGTGGTGCAGTGAACGAGAGGCAGCGCAGGGTCGAGTGATAACCTGTGATTATACTTGGCGCGTTAGGTAGGGGGTGTCCAGGAGCTTATCTTATCCATATGCTGTCCCCGCATCGTTGATGCAGGTTAGAATATCGTTTCGAATCCTGTAGGTATTCCCCTACGCGCGCACACGCACACACACTGGCCCCTTACAGGAACGCAGGGTGGTTCACATGCAGAGGTGCCTCGTGCTTCGAAGCGGTGGTAACTCGGCGGTTATTTCGATCTTCATTATGGACTGCATTATAGAAGGGAGAGACAGTGTTTGTTTGGTTCGATGGGGGGCGGATTGATATCAACTGCATGGCTTGTGTTCTCGGGGGCGTACTGGGAGCGGGGGGAAGAGGTTTGTCTTTACTTACATACTAATGGATCGATGTCGCCACGATGTCCTCTTTCATGTGTCCTCGTCGCACTCCTCTCGAAATTTCGTTTAGTTGGGAGTTCCAAGTATGTGTAGTGGCTACATTAGCTGATTTCGGTGCGTGATCATGAAAGGCGGTCAGAGAATATCTCACATCTAGTACCTACCCCTGGGGGACGTTTACGAGCTGATTTTCGGGCTTCAAAGACAACCCCTCGCTTTTGGGCGGGTTTTGCTATGGTGGGATATTGAGAATCACGATGCCGTGATCTGGCATAATCAGGACTGTTTTCGGAAATCATCTTGAAGCAAATAGAGAACCGAGAGCATAAAGTGTATTATACGAACTTATAATTAGGAACAAGAAAGAGGGAGAGTAACCTCCCTCTTTATAGGTACTTTTTAGAGAACAAAATGGCTCTAAGGCAAAAGTACAGATAGTTTTGAACCACGTTTAAACAACATGATGAAACGTTAGCAACAATGTAACTGTTAACAACATCCGCAACGACTTGGCACGAATAACAAGAACCACTTCATGGGCGAACCAAAAGGCGGAGTATTTGGGATCGTTTTCAACTCACCTACAAAGCACGCAGGAGAGGAAGTGATCGTGTGTAGGCCCGATCATAACTCGTCACTCGCACCGCCAATAACCGCGAAAGCCGATTGGTTGAGCCAGACTCTCTTAGTAGGGAGTATCGATGCCTATGGATCTAAACAAAGTGAAGAGCTAAAAGGAAATTGCGCTGAGACACACGTCTAGGTTTGGAGAGGACTGGGAGAGGGGAGTGCGGGTGGAGAAAACTGGGAGCGATGCGAAAACCGATCAAGCTTGTGAACCGGTATCGTAGAAATGTACGAAAACCCAAGAGTCCGAAGACCATAAACCTCTAGAGCCTATATATCTCCAGAGCCCGTAGATACCCCAAGCTTTAGTCCAATATCTCCCCACCAGAAGCTAAAAGACGACGGATAGATGGCGGGGGCGTACAACCATAAACGTTCGTTCACAGGTTGTCATCCTGGAGTGGTGCGATCCATAATTATTGATAAAAACTATCACGTCTATCTTCAAAGGGAGAAAATATATGGTGGGGAAGTTTGATGGTGGGGAGGTTGCTCTTTCCTGCAGTAGCGGAAAAGTGTAGGACGGCGCTGTGGGTGAAAGGCAGTTATACCGTTGTTCTGCTGGCTAACTTTAACACCTCTACATAGAACTGAGCTTGACTAGAGATGGGCACGAGACTAGTGGTCTCGGGAGTGAGTCTCAGGACCTCTGGCAAAACAAGACGAGACCTGGTGGGCGGGCAAGAAAAGACGAGACAGGACCAGGTCTGGAGGTCTCGAGACCGCTTTCACATTTTCCCCCCATCAAATAAAATCGTCAGCTGGTTCCAGTTCACTCTTTAATTAGTTTGACATTTCAAAAACCGAAGCACAATAAAATCGGGGCAAAAAGTTGATTGAAGTAAGGCTCTACCCGGGATTCGAACCTGGCAACTCGCTGTCGTACTAAGTTTCTGTTCAAGTACATATACCACTATTCTGATAGAGCTTGCAGGAATATGGGCTGGGGGAGATCTTAAAGATAGATTTACATCAATTAGTATAATTGTAGAGCTTTCTCATGTGCCAAAAGGTTACCCGACGAATAGTCTCGAGACTTTGACGAACTTTCCCAAGTCTCGTCTCGTCTCCTCTCGTGACAATCACTAAGCTTGACCTTGTGTTCTCATATATAAGGCAGCTGCCTCAAATCAACAGCCATTGAACTTGGGTAAAGACGATACGGCGTGTTACTCCCCTAATCAGATTTACTTATCCGCGCCAGGAGGTAGTTAATAAACGGAAACGTCCTCCACCTGTTTCTATCACCGCCGTCCCACGGGAAGTGTTCATCCACAAACAACCTCACACTACCATCACAACATGGAATCGAATGAAGCCCGCCAACCCAGAAGCTGCAATGAGCAATAACCAACCCAGAAGACCGCTGCGTATCCGCCCTGAGACACGCCCCCCAAGGTAAGTCCCGCCCAAACCCTTCCCGTCGCCCAGCTATTTCGACAGTTTTAGCCCCCACTGGATATTAGTGGCCGCCTCCCCTAGGCGGGGCAGTACTACTGAGTGATATATCATGATGGAGAACGGAAAGTCAAGGAGGCTAGCTACGAATTTACCGCTTCGGCGCTCCGAGAGCTGGCTCTGGGATGCCATTTGGTCTGGCACGATTTAGGAGTTCTAAGCTATTCCGGATCTCTAACCTGGACTCTTAACTCTCAGCTTAAGAACTTTTACCGACACGTAATTGGGCATAAATTAGAGAGACCGGCTTGAAATCTTCTTATAAGATACCCTTTCTTTCCAGCAATTACAGGTCTAGGTTGATTATGTCCACGGCGGAGTGGGCGGTTACCACTTTCGCGGATCATGCGCCATCACTCGCACTGCGTCATCAAATCAAATACCAGATATTATTGGCCTTAAATGGCAGCAGGGCTAGAGGCCTTGTTCATTTGCTACTTAACGCTGTGTCATGCTCGCAATCTAGCACTATAATTCCTCTGAGTCTGCTGTTCCCTCAAGCTTCAATCTCTCTTTAGCAACACGAGTAAACGGGGGAGGTGCTCGGTCGGCTGAGTACATGGCGGCACTGTATTATACTGATCGCACTAACTAAAGCTCTAACCTACTACTATTAATTACCAACCGCACGACTAAATATGGCCCCACATTTCAAGGTCCTTCCCGTTCTGGGGTTCACCTGACACGTTTCGCCCTCTTCGCAGGCACCTCCGGGCTCTCAGAATCGCTTTCCTCCTCCTTTGGTTCTGGCTCTTCTTTGACCGCCTTTGCCGCGCCTCTGAGTGAGCGTCTAGCAGGTGGCGGTACGTCCCCGCCCACCTCTTCTTTCTTCACCGCCTTTGCTTTCGCACGTCTCTTCGGTGCCGGCTTAACCTCCGCCTCACTCCCCTCCCCCTCCTCCTGCTCTCCATCTCCCCCCTCCACCTCCTTCACCTTCCTCGCCCTCTTCTTCACCGCCTCCCCCACCAGCTTCTGCAAGCCCGGCACATACGCACTCGTCCTAGTCCCCACCTTCACAAAGTCGATCTTCTCCCCCGACGGCAGCTTATTCTCCTTCTTGCTCCCCTTCCCCCACCGATGCAGCATCAACCAGTCCTCCGGAAACTTGCTGCTATCCGCCTCCGCCTTCACCGCCAGCCCCGTCACATACCCGAGCGCGCCATGCAGCCTCTTCACCATCTCCTCGTCCAGCGTGTTCGTGACCTGCTCGGGGTGGATGCGCGCGTGGTACAGTATCTCGTCACCCACCCAGTTGCCAATGCCCGCCAGCACGCTCTGGTCCAGCAGCCACGCCTTCAGGGGCACGCGCCGCGCCGCGAGCTTCTCGGACAGCCAGGCGACGCTGACGGGGGACTGGACGGGGTCGGGCCCGTTTTCGAGGAGGGGGCTGACGCTGCGCAGGTCGCCGGTGGGGTGGTCGATGAGGCGGATGCGCCCGAGGCGGCGCGGGTCGGTGAAGGCGAGTTCGGAGGCGTCAGGGAGCTGGAGGAGGAACTTGGCGAAGCGGGGGGGCCACTCGGGGTTTTTCTCGGGGGTGGTGGCGCGGTAGTGCGCGGTGGAGTCGTGTTGGAAGCAGATCCAGCCGGTCATGCCTTTGGGGTGTTAGCTTGGGTGTCGACTGGCTGTGGGGTGAGGGAGGGAGTGAGAGAGGGGGTACCAAAGTGCATGAGAGGGTGAGGAGAGCTGTTCATGACGAGCCTGGAGGTGTGTGTATATATTAGCAAATGATATACACATAATATATCTATTAAACTACTTATTCGCACAGACAGATAGGGGCATCTAAATACCAAAAATACTTCCCCCACTGCCGCGCCTCAAGCACCTTCTTGCCCTCGAGGGCCTGCTTGAACGCCTTATGCGTGGTGTCTTTGTAGACGATTGCGTCCTCGAACGGCGTGACCTTTGTGATCATCTTGCCGACCAGATGTGTCCGCAGCCGGTTGACGATCCGGGCGACTTCTGCGATCTCGGGCATATTGCTGTGCGTGTGTAGATCGATTGATGGATGTTGAGATTTGTATTTGTATCGAGACCGCCGGCCGGTAGAGCACTGTCTGCAGCAGTGTTAATGACTGAGATGCTTAGACAGGGGCTTTGGCTGGGGATAGTACGCAACGTGCAGCGCAGATGCTTGGCGCCCGTCATTGGTTGCCGCCGCCGGGTGGGATTAGCCGGGATGACTGTGGATCATTGGTTTGCACGATCGAGATCATCCCACCGTTTGTTTGGAAACACTGCTCGGAACTGGTCCTCTGAAAGTCTTCAAACACTCTACATACAAACACTACTACTACAGAAACCAATCTGGCGATATCAAACCTCCTGTGGTCCTCCTCCTCCTCCTCCTCCTCGCCCCCCTCTACACCCCCCTCCCCCTCCGCACCCTCCCCAGCGACAGCAGAAATGGCCACCAGCACCAGCACCGCCGCCGGGCACCCGCACCTCAGCCCGCAATTCTGCTTCTCTACGGGCGCACTCAAAGGTCTGCCCTGTCCCTCCCTTCCCTCCCTCCCCAGAGCACACAGCATACTCACATCCCCCATAGAATTCCTCCGCCTCTCCCGCTCCACCGACGACACAATCTCGCAATCCCTCAACACACTCAGCACCCCCTCGCGCACGCCCTTCGACTCAACACTCAGCACGCGGTCCTCACCCCGTCGCCTTCCCGCCGGCACCTGTACGCAGTTCACGCAGCGGGTGCTGTTCCCGTCGTGGCAAGCACGGACCGAGGTGCTCGAGTACTGCGGCCGCGTCGCGGAGGCCGAGGACCCCGAGGACCCCGCGGAGGTGGTGGGCGAGCGGGTAGTGGATGAGAGGCTGGATCCGTACAGTGGGCGGTACTTCCCAAAGGAGAGACGGACGGAGGTGTTGGCTGTTGTGGTGAGGGGCGAGTGGGGGGTTGAGGAGATTGTGAGGGAGAGGAGTTGGAGGGTTGTTGGGGAGCGGTGTGAGGGGGTTGGGCAGAGGGGGGTGGAGGGGAGGGAGTGGAGGGTGGCGTTTGAGGAGTGGAGGGCGGGGAGGGGGTAGTGTGGTGGTGGTGGTTTGGGGGGGGGTTGCTTTGCTTGGGGTAGTTAGTGCGTAATCTCCGCTCTTAATATATATATATGTGCTTCGAGTGATAGGCGGTGATTTGGTTGTTGGGTTTTTTTTCTTTCTCTTGTTTCCTTTCGTTAGAGGGTGTTAGACGGGAGTCAAGTTCTGTGTATAAACATAAGAGGTCCATTAAGAAATATTGGCTGTAGATATATCTACAAGTACATACATGTGCTCCAGGCTCGATTGGGGTTCTGGCTTGTCGGCTTGTCCGCTTCACCATAGTTATGCATCGTTTTATGATATCAATCTTCAATTGTGATCGCCATAATATCGTCAAACCCATACAAATATCTGAGCTATTTCCCATGCCCTACCCGCTATATACGTCGGGTTTCAGGGAGATTCATGAACTCACCTCCCCGGTGCTTTGATCAACTCCCACGACCCAGCGGCCATGCACGCTCGCCCAGAAGCGGATAGGATAAAGTCAATCAGCCAGATATTCCAGATATCGCGGTGGATAGACAAGAGCCCTCGTTCCCTTAAAAGGGCCGGTATTAATTAATACAATGCAGTTAGAGCCATCTGCCTCTACGAGGCCCGCGGGTTGCTATAAATCCACGGCCAATAAGCGGCCGGAGGCAGAAAGGCGCAGATATGAAACCCCCGCCTGCTCAAGCTCCTAGTAAAGGCCGTCGGTGGTGAATATCTGCCTCACTTCACCTACCCCGCCCGGACCGCTACGGTTCTTATCTCGATAAAACCTTACCGATATCCCAAGCAGCTGCAGCCAGCCAGTGATCTCTTGATCCTTTGCAGGGACCGGGTTGTCTGAGAATGACTACCGGCGGTGTGCGGTGTGCGGTTTCCCGCATTGTATTATGTTGGATACCGTAGCTTTAGAGTATGTACTGTCCGCTCAGAGTAGCATACGGTGGTTGATCCCATGCTCAGCCTTCTCTGGGAGGGATGCGCGGGGTCAGCGGTGATGGTTTCAAACGCGGGAACTATAGGTTAGCTGTAGTCGGGGATAGTGCAGTAACTGCATACATGTATACGAGTGATAGGCTATGTCTACGCCGGGTATTCGCTTATCTAATCAATACAGACACAAATTTCATTATTGCCCCGAAGTGACTTATAAGTACAATACCACGAGTCAGTACGACCCTCGAGGAGTTTGTGGGTGCCGTCCAAAGTTTCAAAAAACGGAGCCAAAAAAAAAAAAAAGCAAAACAAAGAAATTCCGTGTTCCAAGGTCCAAAGCAGCAAAAAGGAGAGGCATCCCGCTCTGCTCCTTTACCCAGTCACACAGTGTATGTTTTCCCACCAAGTCTGGGAGGTTCGAACTATCGACCCTTAAAAATCTATGAGCGCTAGTGAGTCGGTAGCATACTTCCGTCCTCCACCGTGACCCTCGAATAGTACATAACATTTAAACTTGAGGTATTCCGTTGGGGGTGGCATTGGGTATATCTGGTGATAGGAAGCAGATGCAGGTATATGTGGTTCTTGCTGTATTTAGGGCGGTTGTGAGGATAGAGTGCAAAACTACCGACAGGCTGGTCAATACATGTAGCTAGCGACACTGTATAATTCATAGCTAGATGTACTAAGAGAGAACACTTAGCACTGTGGAATGAGGATATACCAGACCAGCCGGTAAATCTTCGCAGTTGGGAGACTCTTCCTCAACCATCAACCAAGTCATCTACAGCGGTACTTTATTTTGGCCAGAATGCGGCAACATACAGCAATGGTTCTGCCTATCCGCATTCCTGCTATTTGTCTGTAGCCTCAAGTTGCCTCTTAACAGAAAGCTAGTCTCGTGTGCTGATCTGATTTCAGGAACGACTGACACAATAAATTTCATTACAGCTGTTTGCATACATGTAATATTAGGCCCAGGCGAGCGTCGTAACGCATACATGTAGTGCGAATCTTCAGGCTATTACCTCTCTAGGTAATTCCCATAGCTTCATTAGGCAATCCTGCCGAAAGTTTAAGTTAAGATACCTCAACGGGTATCTCGAGTTGCGTAATGGAGTAGCCTTGCTTAGCTTTGCAAGAGTCGTTCTATGTGATATGTTATTCAGCTGGGCCTAATATTATGAAAACAGCTGTAAGCCCGGGAATAAGATCTCACTACCAGAACCCGCAATGCTCCAGCAGAGTATTAGCCGATGCTTACCACTTCCGTCCTAGCCCCACCGCATACCAACCGCACCCGCCAATCAACACACAGAAAGACCCTGCAGATCTCCCGATCTAATTAATCTTGGTATCAATTAATTGATTACCTGCTAATTAACCCAAGTAGTACATGTAGCTATGGCATATCTTATCGAGCTATTGCGCAATGTTGCGCAGCGACGACGACACAAGCTACATACATTTTAGCTGGCTAGCACGCAATTGGGTTTGCGAATTATGTGTGTGGTTGACGGAAATGGGAGGTAGAGATGAAGGGATGTGGCCGGATGGCATAATACTGCTGATAGATACAGGTTGACGCGCTGTTAAATACTGAAGAGATGCTTTCTTTCGATTTCTTACTCCTCGTTCTAGAGGGCCCTCTGGACACTGTATTTCTAACTTCTCTTCTATTTCCCCTACTGTTTCTACTACTTCACTTTAATCTGTCCTAAGCCCTCCATCCACTATGCTCCCCCTCCCCCTCCGCCCCCTCACCTTCACACTCCTCACCTTCCTTCTCCTCCTTCTCACTACCCACCTTACTTCCACTACCGCCTCTTCTAAACTCCAAACCTCTCCCTACTCTTCCGCTGATCACCTCCTCGACCTCAGCACCATAACGCGCCCACATGCCCTCCTCGCCCTCGCCCTCCAAGACATGGACCCCACCACCACCGCCTACGCACTAACCCCCTACAAAGCGGCCTTCAACTGGCCGCACGTCATGTCCAACCTCTCTGCCCGCGCCGCCGCAGAGGACTTCCACTTCCCGAAGACCAAGTTCTATATCATTGTGTTCAGATCCCAGATTGAGCCCGGCACGAACAGACAGGAGCTGGGGGCGATGGATATGGCGGCGCATAGGGAGGCGGTGGAGAGCGGGTGGTTGCTGAAGTACTGGTTTGGTGTGCCGGATGAGTTGGGGTATAATTTGGCGACGTAGGTTTCCATGTGTTGGTGGTGGTGGTAGGGTGTGAGCGTGCTAACGGTGGTGGGTATAGGTGTGTGTGGAGAGATATCAAAGACGCAAGGCGGGGCGGTAGGGGAAAGGTATGAATTCTACTCTAGCCAGATTAGTGGGATAAGCAAGCTTGGCTGGAAACGTTATTGACAGTGTGTATGTGCGCGTGAGCAGGGACATCAAGCTGCAATGAGGGCCGTGAAGGGCCTGTATAAGAAATGGGAGGTGGAGAGGTTGGCGCTGGTTGTGGGCGAGGGTGTAAAGGAGTGGGATATCGTGAAGTGGGAGGAGGCAATGAAGGAGGAGGTGGGTGGGGGCGGCGAGCTCTGATAGGGCCTTTGGGCGGTGTCGAAGCCTGTGATGTGGAAGTGCTTTTGAGCGGAAGGTTTGGACTCGTGCTGTGCACGGTTTTGGTTGGTTATGAGGATTGTAATATAGAAAGGTAGCTAAATACCTATAACGAGTGATGCATTGGCGCTGAGGGATATATGGTCGTGGATAGAGATATTAGTAATACCATGGCCTGGTAGAAACTTAAAATTCCGGGACTTCCTATTTCAGCGGGTGGCAAAGTCACTTCTCCACTCACTATTAACATTAATCCACACGCTACCAGTGTGGAGCAGTGACTTTGCCACTGGGAGGGCCTGCTGAAATAGGAAGTCCCGGAATTTTAAGTTTCTACCAGGCAATGGGATATGTTTTGTTGCTCTTATTGGCCATGAGTTCGATGAGCCGTTGAGAATTTGGAGTTAGTGCTGGCCGGTGATAAATATTACTAAAAACTGCGCTTATGGTATCGTCATGTGGTTGATGGGCCTAGTGGTAGCCCTCGAGTCGCAGATACAGCAGCTGTTCTGTATATATGTTTACTAGTCTTTCCTGACAGCTACATATTGAGTCTGGTGGTAATGCAGACTTATTAGTAAGCCTTCATATACCGTATCATCGAGCCGGTTCATCCACAGCTGAAGAACAGACATTCCGATAAAAAGTCGGCAGCATTAGAGGGTTTTGGTGAGTCCCTGAAATCCATTATTCGGCCATATTTCCTTCACGTAAAATGGTGGCTTCTGCAGCAGAAATGTGCTTGAAATATGGCCAAAATATGGGGACCAAAACTCTCTACCCCTTCGTCTGTATTCAAGACTTGTGGCAATCTGTGGCTCACCACAAAAAGTTCACAGACTAGCTGGCTGGAAGCGGCTGTCGGCGGTGTAAAGTTATCTCCACTCGTCACGCAAAATCGAGTAGATCACGACGCTGTTTCCACACTAATAAACCGTGGTTCGTGGGAACAGACGAAGGGACATGTCGACGGGCCTCAAGAGCAGCCTGTAAAGAATATCAAGGCCCGTTGGCGCTTGACCGGCCGTGATATGATCATGACATCAACTGCCAGTGCCCCACAGCCACTCTAGCGGGGTTGAAAGGTGTCTGTATGAGGGTTTGGTGAAATTTGTCGAAGTACAGCTGAGGTAGGGAACGCGGGGTGAAAACCGGAGGATATGGGTGGTCAAGCGGTGATGCGCACGTGCGCAGGAAGAGCTGCACAAGTATCATTGACCCTCAAGCGTTCCACATGAGGAAAGGCATGCCTCTGTTGCATACATGTATGCAGTTGGTCCACCCAGTGGCATCCGCCCCCCCGATGAGTGTAACATACAACCGTCAAGATATCAATCCGGGCCGAAAAATCTGTTCGTGACATCTCTTGGACTGTGTCTTAAGACCCCATCGTGGTGGTGCATCGGTGCATCGTGGTGCTTGTGCGATTGGCTCGGCGCTATATGAGGGGTCCTGTAAGCAAGATTCCTTATCCAAGAGGGGCGTGTAGACTCTTGCGGAGAAATCTCTGGAGATGGTGATATAAAGGGCCTGTGGGTTTCCGCGGGTGAGGAGAGTATATGTGATGAGTAGCGGTTTGTTCGTCGAGTTGGTTGATGTGGGGTTTGTTCACCGAGTCAATTGACGCGGGGTTTGTTCAACGTTTTGAAGTTCTGAATGGAATCCTCATCCGTATGTAATCACCATTTCTTGACTCACCATCCGCCATTCAGGCCCGAGCGTAATCATCTTCTCTTCAGATATCGATTACTCTACCTCACTGTCCATGCCAATACGGCAAGATCTACGGCCCGATGTTTAAGTGAATGTTTGTGGTAGGCCGGCGCTGGCCGTTCGGCACCCCACAGCCTGTCGACGCCGCACACGAACCGCTAAGCAACGCTAACGGGGACCCCTCGCCAAAAAAGTGTGTTGGACAACAAACCCCTCCTTTTTCTTTTTTCTGCTTATTTAAAGTAGTCTATCACGTCCCCCGTTGTTCTTTTTTCTCCTCAAACCTTTCATCATCACATCACCCTTACCTCAAATTTTCTGTAAGTCAATTGAATTGATTCCATCACACGCTGGTGGCTGTAGGCTAATCGTGGGATCAGAACAAATCAGACAAGATGAGCGCTCCCGCACAGCAATTCAAGGTCGCCGATATCGTGAGTGCTCCAATTGCAATTGCCTTAAACATCTTCAATGGATAGATGAATGGAATGAATGAATAAAGGAGGATATACTGATATGATGATTTCAATCTAGTCCTTCGCGGCGTTCGGTCGTCGTGAGATCGAGTTGGCTGAGAATGTAAGATTTATTCCGAATGAACCATGATGGATTGATAGATCAGATATGCTAACAATGATGATAGGAAATGCCTGTACGTGTATTCGAATCCTCAAACGGAACGAATTGAGTTTCTGACTTGGACGATGATAGGGTTTGATGCAAACGCGTGCCAAGTACGCTGCTGACCAGCCCCTCAAGGGTGCCCGTACGTACCCCACATCATGAAAATTCAATTGAGTGAAATTTGTGCTGATAAGTAATCATAGGTATTGCTGGATGTCTCCACATGAGTATGACTCACTCCCTGATAATGGTCGATTGATTGGGTGAATTTATCTAATTTTCCCATGTAGCCATCCAGACTGCCGTCCTCATCGAGACCCTCACTGCCCTCGGTGCTGAGGTTACCTGGTCATCTTGCAACATCTTCTCCACCCAGGACCACGCCGCCGCTGCCATTGCCGCTGCTGGTGTCCCTGTGTAAGTTTTTTCTGTTCCGGCTTTGCTTGATATGTCAATGGTTCTAACACCGTATTAGCTTCGCCTGGAAGGGTGAGACCGAGGAGGAGTACAACTGGTGTTTGGAGCAGCAGCTCCTTGCCTTCAAGGATGGCAAGAAGCTCAACTTGATCCTCGACGACGGTGGTGATCTTACTGCCCTTGTCCACAACAAGTACCCTGAGCTCCTTGAGGACTGCTACGGTGTCTCTGAGGAGACCACCACTGGTGTCCACCACTTGTACAAGATGCTCAAGGATGGAAAGTTGAAGGTCCCTGCCATCAACGTCAACGACGCCGTCACCAAGTCCAAGTTCGACAACCTTTACGGATGCCGTGAGTCCCTTCTTGACGGAATTAAGCGTGCCACCGATGTCATGGTTGCCGGAAAGACTGCCGTTGTTGCCGGTTACGGAGATGTCGGAAAGGGATGTGCTGATGCCCTCCGCTCATTCGGTGCCCGTGTCATCGTCACCGAGATTGACCCCATCAACGCCCTCCAGGCCGCCGTTTCTGGTTTCCAGGTTACCACCATGGCCGAGGCTGCTCCTCAGGGTCAGATCTTCGTTACCACAACCGGTTGCACTGACATCTTGACCGCTGAGCACTTCAAGGTCATGAAGGATGATGCCATTGTTTGCAGTATGTTCCACGCTTTTCACACTATTGAAATTGAGCCTTTTTGAATACTAACGGTTCCCAAGACATTGGTCACTTCGACTGTGAAATCGACGTTGCCTGGCTCAAGGCCAACGCCGAGAAGGTCGTCTCCATCAAGCCCCAGGTCGACCGCTACTACATGCCTTCCGGCCGCCGCATCATCCTTTTGGCTGAGGGTCGTCTCGTCAACTTGGGATGTGCCACCGGTCACTCCTCATTCGTCATGTCTTGCTCTTTCACCAACCAGACCCTTGCCCAGATCTTGTTGTTCAACTCCCAGAACCAGGCATTCACCGACAAGTACCCCGAGTTCCAGAAGGCCGCTGGCAAGCTCGAGGTCGGTGTCTACACTCTTCCCAAGATCCTTGACGAGGAGGTTGCCCGTCTCCACCTCGACCACTTGAACGTCAAGCTTGAGACTCTCTCTGCTAAGCAGTCCGAGTACTTGTCTCTCCCGGTTGAGGGACCTTTCAAGTCCGACATGTAAGCAAATCCCTCCAGTATTATTTTTTCTTGAACATTCACTAACACCCATTATAGCTACCGTTACTAGACGGCTTCATTTCGTATAAATAGAAAAAAAACTTAGGTTTAGGTAAAAGTAATTGTCTTCAACGGCATCTTTTAAGGAATGTGGTTTTACTGTTATAAAATCTTTCCATGGGTTTCAAATGGGTTTTTAAAAAAGGGAAGGTTGGGGCGTACTTGGTTTTCAACAGCCAGTGGGGGTTCAATGTTTTGTTTTTTCTACTTTTCATAGTTACTAGCCAGTCTTACTACACTGGATAAATAAAAAAAGAGGCGAAAACCTCATGTTTCGTGATCAAACTTGTGTTCAAGTATTAATAGACTTTCGTGATGAGGATTATTGTAGGCTTCGAAAGTTGTTTCTCGCTTAATACCGGCGTTTGTTTGAGGTGGTTTAAAGTTTTGTGATACGGCAGATAAAGTTAAATTTGCGCTCAGCTGCTTTTACGGCTGGATTTATTTAACCGAGATAAACCTTTTCGTTCCGGAAGAGATTTAAACTTTGGGGTCGCATGGACCAGAAGGTGCTTGTTCACCAATCAATTGTTGTTGTGTTTGCTTGGTGGTTTAAGTATTAGTTTTGGATTTTTGGTTTCTGACTGTAATGGTCGAAAGGTTAAGGAGGTCTCCACATCCCAGTTCTGATTTCCCTTTTCATTCCAACGGCAAACGGTGTCCGGTTCGAACCCCGTGGTGGGCGTCTCACCTGTGCGAGTAATCCACAGCGCTGAGCGCCTCTAAGGGCGAGAAATATACTTCAGGGAAGCAATTCTGCAGAGAGTTCTCCCCACGGGGTGGCGGCGCCGGACTGCACTGTGCGCCGGTATGGGAAGTTAGGATAGGGCGGTGATCAACTTTTTGATGTTTTTTTTACTTCCCTCCCACGTTGCTTTTATCGTCGCGTGTGTGTGCTTCATCTTGTTGGCGGGCTTTTGGGTGGTTGTGCAGTTCATTCATGGGTTACCAAGCATCATCCCAATCTATTCCTTCACTTATTAACCTTACTTTACCGTCTCGAATGCAGCTCTCATCGCACGAGAATCTTCTGCTTTCTCACCAGAATTAGGTGTGACGCCACAGTTCATTAACCCCTGCACAGACACCTCCACAGCTTCCCACCCTCGTATGTAGTTATTTTAAACCATACCCGTATCAGACGTGCCAGGATCTTTACCCCCTCCAAACGAGGGTTCACTCGCAGTACGCAAGATACACACACATACATAGCTCCTCGAAAAACAAGCGCATTCGTTAGACAGCTGCCTGCACCTTCGTTCAAAATATTCAAAACAACAACAACAACCCCCCCCTTCGAAAACCTCTCACTGAGTACAGAGTACATACAAAGAATCTTACAACTTCCGCGACGGCATCTCCATGAATGCCTTTACTCAACCCATACCTCCGTGCCTTCTTTCGCTCAACGCTTCCTGCCCAATGCACTCCGGTACAAGATTACGTACGGCCTACCTACCTACCTACCGATAGGCAGAGAATAATAAGAATAGAGAAAAGGGAACAGAGCTGATGATGGTTCACTAGATCCTCCTGGTACCCACAACCGAGATTCTCACAAACGCTCGCGATCGGGAGTCCGGGGCGCTTTACGCCGATCTTGCGGGCGTGGATGAGTTTCTGGGGAGCCATGTGTTACGGGTTCCGAGCGGAGGCAGCTCGAGTCCTATGGTCGGGAGCAGGGAAAATAGGGGGAAAGCAAGGCAGTTTACAACATTCAATGGGCGGACTGTGGTTGTGAAGGATAGTTGGGTTTATTCGAATAAGGGTGCGTCTTTCCTTCCTTCCGCGGAGGAGGAGGTTGGGAAAGTGGGGTTGCCAGTGGTGTCGTTGGAACGAGGGGGGAAGGGAAGATCTGCGGGGCAGCCGTGATTGTGGTGCTGGACAGGAAAAAAAGGGAATTTGGGAATTGAAGGCCAGATGAACTGATGGGGGGATACAGGTTTCAGGAGCTTGAATCAGGCACAGCTACTGAACGATACGCTGTTCTATCCCGACATCAGCGACCCTCAACAGTGGCTTATCTACTTTATTTCACGCCCGCTTATCGGTAGTCTTGAGGTCGTGTCAACGATTCCTCCACAGTTACGAGACCGCACGGCTGTAGAAACAACTGCCTCGAGAGCAACCGGGCAAGCATCATCGTCGTCGTCGGGGCCGTCAGCAAAAAAGAAAGATGTAAAATCGTTCAATGAGCTTTTAATGCTCTTTCCCATGATTGCTCGTCAAATGCAGCCCGGGCTCGAAAAGCTATTCCAAGACTTTGAGGTCTCATTCCAGAAGTTCAAACCGCTCCCCATGCCTCCGCCTTCGCCTAAAAGTGTGGCATCTGGGGTTTCAAGTAGTAGGGCTTCGACACACTCAAGCGTTAGTGGCGACGTTTACAAACAGGCTGCTGATGAGGCCGAGATTCGTCGGAGCCTGGAAAATGCAATCATGACTGCAGTAGACCTGTTCCAGCGAGTTGACCAGTCTCAACTCAATCTACTCGCTTCAACGACGGACTTGACAGGTCCGGCGTGCGATAGGTTGATTGAACGTTATGTAGCCGAGCAGCTCCACGATTCTATCTTATTCCCGAGGCTCTGCGCTACGAAGAACATTGAGGATGAGGAACTGGAAGGTAAGATCATGGATATGGCCAATGTGGACTTGACGCAAGTTGGGATTCCGTCCCTAGATCAACAGGAAAAGAAGAGCCTAGTGAATAGACTCGGAAGAGGTATCAAGAGTTTTGCAAAGATTGGAACTGCGAAGAGCCCTCATGCTATGACAGAATATCTTCTTGAAACAGCGCAGACACTAACTCGGCTTGACGATGATCCACCTGAGTCGGAGCCCAAGAACCCAGAGAAGAGCTCAGTTGTAACTATGAATGCAGATATGCTTGTCTCCTTGCTTCTTATTGTTGTTATTAGAGCTAAGGTGCCGAATCTGCATGCTTGCTTGAGTTACATGCGTAACTTTATCTTTGCGGAGGATGTCGAGCAGGGCGAAACAGGGTATATCCTTAGCACTCTCGAAGCAGTATTGTTCCATATCGCGCAAGATCATGCGTTGTCTGCGGCGAGTAGGAGCAATGAAAAACTGTGGAGGAGTGTAAAGGCGGGGGATTTGGAGGCTGTGAGAAGGTTACTGGAGGTCGGAGGTGATTCTAGGAGTAGGGCAAGCAGCCGCGTGAGATCTGATGATGGATTCGAATCCAAAAGCGAGAACGGGAGTGATGAGGAGAACACACTGGGACAGAACGGCGAGAACGGGAATAGTGAGGGGCACAACATTGGACAAAACGGCGTACCGACAGTCCAGATATACAGCCCAGTAGCGGAACATGGAGGGGGCTTTATGGAAGAGCTGCAAAAGGTATCGGAGACAAATGGGGATAACGATGAAGAGTCTGGATCAGAGGATGTCGAGGATGGAAATGTGACCAAGACGACTGAGGAAACGACCGAGGAAACGACTGAGGAAACGACTGAGGAAACGACTGAGGATGAAACCACGAATCATGAATCTGCGGCCAATAGCGCCGAATCAAAACATGAAGAGCCGAAAAGTACCATTGAGGATACTGTTGTTGAGGAGGCTGAATCTTCGCAGGACGCACTAAAGAACGGTGAACAAGAAATCGAAGAGGAGAAGGAGCTGCCAGCGGTCCCTACTGTGACAAAACTTTTAACAAACTCCGAAACAGTTGAAGAGGTCTTCATTGACCCCTTCGAAGCCGAACCGGTTGATGCCCCATCTGCCCCGGCCGGTAGTATCTCCACTCTGCGAATAGAGGATATAATTACCGATGGACAAGATGATAGTGCCTCTGTCTTGAGTGTTACCCTTGCCCCACCAGTACCAACAAAACCCTCGCGCGGCTCTCCAAACGGACGAGCAGGAACAGCCCGATTCGAGGTTGATGAACCGGTATCTTCAAACAAGTTCCCATCCCGTAGGGAAAGATGGAGTACAGCCAGCCTTGCGACAACTCTAAACGATACAAGTAGTATGACAAGACTAAGCAGAACATACACATCGCAGTCTCAAACGGCAGATAGTTTCTCTGTCGAGAAACTTAGCAAAACTCGGAATGCAAACGGGGAGAGTGTGCTCATGATGGCTGTACAGGAAAGGCAGACAGAGGTATTGAAGTATCTCCTTGAGACTAAGTTCTTCGACCTCGAGTTTTTGGTAGAAGACACCAATAATGAGGGGACTACACTTTTGTCTGCAGCCGTCCAAGCAGAGGGCCAGGACATTGTGGACCTGATATGTCCATACCTATTCGAGCTCGATGAAGCAGCACTAAGGAAGTACTTTGCCCGCCCTGATACGGCTGGAAGAACAGTCGCCCATTATCTTTTCAATACCCCCGATCTCATCAAGCGCCTGGGCCGCTGGCTGCCATGGAAAGTAAAAGATAAGAACGGCCAAACACCTTTATTTGCATTATGCCGTAGCTACGATCACGCAAAGTACAAGGAGATGGTATCATCGGCGATCAAGCAAGCGCAAGCAGCACAAGGAGATGGATGTAAGTTGCATCTTGACGAGCACGTGGATAATAAAGGAAACACTTTATTACACATTGCGGGAGACCCTTCAGTCTTGAGGACCATGTTAAGATGTGACTCGGAGGTGAATGCAGTCAATGATCGAGGCTTCACGGCGCTGATGGTTGCGAGTAAGTATGGGCGGGTGGAGATGGTGAGAACATTCTTTGCGGATGGCAGGGTAGATCTGTTGGCGAAGGAATTGAGGGGCTTGACGGCGGTAGAGCTGGCGAAGGATGATGATGTGAGAAATCGCATCGATGGTATGTTTGTCCTTACAGACCTAGCTTTAGAGGGATGCTTACTGGCGGTGTAGACTTGGTGCTATTCCAGAATCCCCATGGAGATGATGGAAGGGTTACTGCAGTTGTGAGAAGCTTCTTTGTAGAGGATGCAACGATTAGGGTGGTCGTGAAGAGTGGTGCCCCGGCGGGAGAGAGCACGTTCACCATCACAACATGTCGGCGCTCCTTGACGGATTTTCAATTCCTTCAAGAGTGGCTCCAATTTGAGAACCCCGAATCATGGTTACCAATTTTAAACGTGCCGCGGAGTCCGTACCAGATCCCATCAAAACCATCAAGATCGGTGCTAAGAGATATACAATTGCGGGTTGATTGTTTTCTCAGAACATTGCTCGCGCACTCCACATTCTCGACGCATGAACTTTTATGGGAATTTTTTCTTGTCCCTGATTTACAGCAGGAACTGATGATGGAAAGGAGTAAGAAAAAGGCAGAGATAAGGATGGAGAGAATTAGGGAAGAGTTTACGCCCATAGAAGACATTAGGGACGTAGAGAACTTCGTAAGCTATGCGAAGGATAGTGTAAGGAGCGTCAACTACGCTTGTAGGAGTGTTACAAGAAGAGCCACGGCTCTAAGGTACAACATGTGTGGTGAGTTTAGTCCATTTCCCTCTCCTGCGGCAGAGACTGATTCCATAAACATCAGATCTATCGGACTCGTACAAGTTCTGCTTAAAGCATCTCAGTGGATTCAAGTTCCTCCAAGACACAGAACACCTGTCCGCCTTCAACCGCTTCTCTGAAGCCTTAGTACCTAACGAATCAAACCCCTATACACTCTTCATCGAAGACTTCCGGAACCTGCAAGCCTCACTGAACGGGGTCATGGCCGCAATGGACCGACCCCGCCAGCTTATCAATCAGATGTCGGTCCTGCAAAAACAAGTAGACAAACATATACTCTCACTCCGCCGGTCTGACCGCTGGCCGCTCGGTCTTCTTGACGACACGCGTGCCAAGATCCACCAAGAGGCTGCGGAGAATGTGGCAAAGAGTAAAGAAGAGTACATGCAGCTTAGCAGTGAGCTAAGATGTACACAGACCGTGGCTGCTGCTGAGTTGAGTAGCTTCCACGATCTCCATGAGAAGATGGCAAAAAGGGCGATAAGAGATTTTGCCAAGAGATGTGTAGTGGGGGAGAGAGCAAAATTGGAGAGTATGAAGAGGGCGATAAGGGGTATATCGAAGATGGGGTTTGAAAAGCCTCCTAAGCCTATGACGGCACCGACTGAAAATTAGGCTGGTGGGGAAAGTGCCTTTGCGGGATTTTGATTGTGATATTAGGCTCGCTATGATAAACGTTGTGCGTATGTGGGTGCGTGTATGCGAGTATCTCATTGTATGGGGGCGGATTACTTTGGTTTTTTCCTTTTTTTCACTTTTAGTTTTACAAGGTTTTGGTGAAGCATGTTTTGGTTACTCTTACTCTTTCTCCTTTTAAACTGTTATTTGCTATTGCTTCCACTTCAACCTTCAATTGCAGGGAGGGTATTTTTTTTCCTTTTCTTCTACTATTTCTAGCTCAGGCCAGGGGATAAAAACTAGAGATTCTTTTCACACTTTCCGTTTCACTAACTACATAATTGTTCCACTCCTCTTTTCTTAGCTACATATTATAGAGGTCTTTCTTATCATTCGGGATACAGTTATTATATCTCGGACCAGTTTATCCAGGGGTGTTTGGGAGTTTGTTTAGCTAGCGGTTTTAAGAAGAGGGGCTGGTTAGGTATCTGGATATTTATTCCCATCTTCCGATCGTGACTCTTAACTCTTATTGTGCCGCTTGTATGCTCGTATAAAAAAACCCTTTGTGTAATGTATCGCGAGGTAGTACAACATGACCTCACCATATGTGTACCACAGAATAGGTAACTTCAAACACAAGGCGTGATATCTAGGCAAGAATGCCTGTCAACGCCTACGCACTGTGACAGGCCTTGGTACTCACATACAGTTTACAGGCTGGGAGTGGTCATGTCATTTCAGGTACTTTGCATTGTGATACTTTGAATAGCCCCTCTGAATTGAATTTCCTCGGAAGCACGCAGGTCCCATCTCCAATCCGTCCCATCATCCCATAAGCCCTATGCAATAATCCATCCAACTAGAGAGTAGTAAATAATAGATGATTTTTTTTTCTTTTTCCACTGCCGCAGTGACAGACCAGCAAAAAATGGCAATGAAAACCCCGCCAAATGAAACTCCCCAAGCATGAGCTTCGTATGAAGAAAAGCCAAAAGAAAAGTTAAAAAAAAAGAATATGAAGAAAAACCAAAGCTGATGCAAAAGCACTACAGAAAGAAGAGGGATATAGAAATCGGGTATTATCTAGTTATTTAACGTTTTCGTGAAGAGTATATTTATATTATTTTTTTCTTTTTATTTTTTTTTTCTTTTCATTGGATTCAGGGGCATATCCTTTTTCAGTACGCCATTGGATATCCATGATCCTGTTGCTGCCTTCGCAACGATGGCTCATCAACAGGACTGAACATCTCCTGCTCCTGTTGGTGGATCCTCCCGCCATCCACCGGCAAGAACAGTTCCTGATTCGCAGGGTGCTGGTGGTTTTCCTCCACAGGCATAAACATCTGGCGACTCGGGGTTCTTGGCGATGCAGGTGGAGAAGCTACTAGGGTGGATCCCCCCTGCTGCGAGAACGAAAATCCAGACGGGCCATTCTGCATCGGTGAAGGGGTGTTTTGCGGTGGGAACGATGTCTGGGTTGGTGAGAATGTAGTCTGAACTGGCAGCGGGGATGTTGCCTGTGTTGGTGCTAGCATCCCCCCCTGCTGCTGAAAGGACGACGACGGAGCTGGGGAAACAGCTCTTGGAGATCCAGTATTCCCGAATGCACTTCTAGCCGGAGAGTATGGCGGCAGGCTGCTAGACCTTGGGCTTCCCAAAATATCCGCAGGGAACGGTCCCCTCTGTGACCCAGTTGGCGTACGCGGTGAATCCTGTCCCTGGAAAGCTTGTGGTGGATAACGTGGACCCAATTCCTTTTCAATCGCAGATACAGCTACGCCATTTTTATAATCCGGGGGTGGAGTCGAGGTGTGTTGGGGGACGTTGAAAGAGGCGGATGTTGGTGTGCCTGGCTTTGAGGTGTTCCCAGAGACAACCGGAGCTGGCGGGGAAACGGCACTGGCAAAGGAAGCGGTAGACTTTTTGTTTTTGAGTGAAATTTCTTCGTAAGGCTGGCGGCCCGGGGCTTCATAGGCTGCAAGAAGAGCTCTTCCCTGTTGACGTTTTCGGTGGCAGGCCCAGGTTGCAAGAACAAGAAGTAAAAGCGCAATGCCTCCACCGGTAGCAACGGCGATGATCATGTTGGTGCTGAAGAACCCATCCTTTTTTGAAGATTGGCTAGCTGAGGATGTTGTTGTTGTTGGTGAAGCAGTTACTGCGGTACCGGTTGTTGAGGTTGCTGTCAGTGTGGATGTTACAGCCTCGCATCCTAAAACGGCAGTACAAGTCTTTATTGCTGTGAGCTTTCGCTTCTACATCTTTGGGTTGAGATCCTACTTACGTGACTTGGGGGACAACAGTATGTATTACATGATACGTAACTTTCTGGGCAGGTAAGTTCCCGTGGATCCAGGCTCAATGGAGATGCATGTGTAAAGACTGAAAAATTGAGTAATAAAACCAATGCCGAAAGAATGGCTGGCGATGAAAATCGAAAGAGCTGCATCGAGACTGATATACTAGTAGTGTTGCGGTAGAGGTAGTAGTAGTAGATACCAGGAATAGACAATTAATTAATTCTGGCCAGGAATGATTGTAGTAATATTAATAGTAGTAAAGAGTGGACTATTAATTATTGTATAAGGAATGACGAGGTCGACGATTTAGGCTTTATTCCAATGAATGAATGTAAAGTCTGACCAAATGAATGACTGACTGACTGGCGAGAAAGAAAAAGAGAGTTGTGTATACTTCCCGTCAATTACAGAAACTCCGGAAGAAGGCCGGAGTCGGGGGGGTTGGCTAGTATTTAAAAAACTTTTCAAGAATGATCAAGACATCTCGAAGATCTGGGCTGCAGCCCCCACTTATGAGACTAATCCTAATTGTTGCCTGCAACATGGGTCCTTTCCTCTCCCCAGGTTCGTCCACCCACTCCACAAATCGTTGCAATTGGCTGCTAGTTTCTCGTGACGATGACCATAACTGGAGCAGCGAAAGTAACACATCCTCTGTTGGGGTTCTGTGGTACGAGGCGGGTACAAAAGTGGATTAACCCGAAGATCATATCCTAGTTCCACGAAATCGAACGGGATAAAGGGGAATTGTTTTTTCTTTTGTTTTTGTTTTTCTCCCCTTTCTCTTCTCATTTCTCTGCAGGGGTAAAAGGAACACAACGAGGCGTAGAATCTCCATGCGAGTGATGCGACTCGTCCACGAGAAACCTCCTGTAACTGCTACTCCTTCGCTCGACAAATTCATGTTCAATTGATCGTTACCCACCCCACCACTAATCCTACCCAAGCCAGCCAAGCCGAGGTCGAACGGGGTTCAAGGGGGCCTGTAAGTTTTCTTCTTTCTTCTCTTTCTAGTGCCTCTGATCTACGCCCTGGATGGTAACAAGCGGAACGGATACTCGGATTTCCGACATGTGTTCCTGAATTGAATTCTTTTTTTGGAAATTCTTTGAAGGCAAAAAATGATTTGGTGACAAATCTCTTGGAAAAAGAGTTGCGCTCAGGGCACGGCTCGGGCCGTACTGGTTGAAGCCAAGACAAGAACGACAAGAATCGCCCCCGAACTGGTGCCTGATGAATAAGAATTCGGCAGTGAGAGTTGGACCCTGGCAGGAACTCAGGAACCAGTTACTTAAGAGGGCGGGTGATTCACCAGGTACAGAATAATACCGGCAAACATACAAGCATATGTGCAGGCTCGTATCCTAGAGGGAGAATAGCATACAGCTGCAACCTGTGACTCGATTCTCGCTAAGGCAAATGCATACTTTAGGTAAGTAGCACCTGGAGCTTCGCCTCGTTACTAAGATGCAGGTACGACGAAATGAGATGGTCTTTTAAAAGATTTGGGTTTTCTTGATCACCTCGGGTACCAGGTAGCTGGTAGTATATAGCATTGCAACCAGAAAACCTTGTAGCCGGCTTCCAGCATCCCTCACTCTTCCTGTCTTGTTGTTCGCTTTTGTTCATCCTCGCTTTTTTGAGCTTGTTACGGATGCTAGGGGTGTTGTGTCTTTTCGTTGACAACTTCTGACACCTCATGTTTCGTTCTGTTCGACATGGTCAGGTAGGGTTGTTATCACCCACGTTTCTGAGGCTAAGCAGCTGGCCTCTACGAACAAATATCGGGTTCATAAGGAATAAGTGTATAAAAAACTAGCTCACGATATATATGGATGATAACTATCGAGAACCGCGATATTACCCGTAAAGCCGTCTAGAGCCTACTCTCTCTAAAAGTAATCCCTGGCTGTCAACAGCCCAACATCTGTTGCTGTCCAGTGAACGACTGTTGTTTCGGCACGCTCTGTTCAAGGTGACCCCAGCATAAATCTACCACCTAGGAAGACCCTGACACAGATACTACCCGGAGCAGTATTGACGCAGAGATGCGCCATTTCGATGTGGTGAACATACCAATACCTACTTCAATCCAGTAGGCACTAATACATGCATGTACCCTATGTACCGACATACAATACATCTTGTACCTACAAGGCTAGCATAGCTTGTGGTGACTCGTGAGATCAATGTCCCACTTACGTCTAGGCACATCCCCTCTTTCCTCCAACACATCAGTCTACATAGTAGGCGAATCAACAAGTTCCTCACACTTAAGTACAGCAATTGGTACACAATGGTCCCTATTTACGCATCTTATAATCAACAATTAGCTATAATCCATGACTAGTCCGCCAAGGGGAAAATGATCCATAGGAATCTAAGGTGTGTAATCCGATGTATGTACTAGTACTACGATGTCACTCGACATCCCTTGCCATGTTCTGTCTTTAATTTAAAGGCGTTAGCGATAATGGCAGTTCCACGGCCACAAAGGTTCCCCGGCTCATTAGGTTCAAATTCAATCATGAAGATCGCTTTCCAGAAGGTTTCCTGACTGGACTGATTCACTATGGGGGCTACAGGTCCGAAGAATAGCCTGTGCCGTAATTGGACTACGTAAAACACTCCAAAGGTGTACTCTAGGTACATGATCGCCGCTCAGCAGTCCGACACAGCACACATGTAGCATAGCCTCCGATGGAGACCCCCATCAGACGGCGTGTGGCCATGGGCATTGGTTGTCAACGCTGTTTAAGCTCGCTCGTGAGATTGAACATCAACTCGTGGGTATTTCGAATACAACGGGCTTCTGGTTCGACCTGCAGATGAGCTGCATCTGGCAACGACAATGGTCGAGAGGACGTGGAACATGTGTTCTAATCAGCACAACTTTAATTGATATAATCCTATTATTCGCAGGTGAGCTAGACTACTCAATATACTTAGAATAAGAATCCTAATATATATGATTTATGAGGCAGCGCAAGCTTTGATTACAGATCTACAGGGGAATGCTGAGCTGCGGCGTTCACTTGAATTCTTGCGTATTTCCTTAGTCTAAAGAGTCATGAAAGCTCAGCTGCTGAGGTTTAGGGGGCTGTGGAAATCAAACGCGATAGCCTACCTATCAACGTTGAATAAGTTCGGCAAATGGGCTGCGCATACTTCGGCTCGTATCACCCCATCGGTCACCCCTACACAACAAAAGCGAGACTTGATCGTCATAGCCGTCACCGTGCGCAGACAGTTCCATACATATGGGTGTCGATCTAGTGAAACTGTCTAGTTACAACACGCCAGAATCTCGCCTATTTGCAACACACCGTACATACAGCTTCAATTGATTGAATTTTATGGAGATTTTGGGTTGGGTGTTTGTACAGTTCGACAGAATAAGCATTTAGCTGGCAGGCGGTTTAACTAGCTTCTATGTTTAATTTTGTACCCTCTAGGAATACGGATAAGGCTGAGATTGAATAGATGACCGGATACTAGGATATAATCGAGTATCTTTAGTGGAAACGGTAACTCGAAGGACGAAAACTCTATGAACGACGCAATTGATGAATTGGTGAATCTAGTCGGCTTGGAAGATGTCAAGGCATCAATATCAACCATCGGAATCCTTAAGTATTAGGATACCGATCTGAGGAAGGAACGGTTCGACATTGTTTTCCAAGGGGGTAAAGTGCAAAAGATGGAAGAAAGAGAATAGTCAGCGGCCGGAGAAGCTACATACATACATATGTAGAATAGTGTGTGTGGTACTGCGAGAGGTAAAACTACATAGTAGCATTGATCACAAACTAAAACTAAACATATAAAGGTATGACAGTAGACATTTATGAGTGGTAGATAATATATGCCCAGCACTATCGATCAGAATAAGAGAGAAGACATATTACAAATATTGGAGGTCTATCGACGTGATAGGTGTATAGCATTAGGGGAGAATACGGGTCTAGCTAGAGAGATGACAAGAACTGGTCTGAAATCGGAGGAAGAGGAAAAAGATTTTCGTTTGTTGTTAGTTAGGACTGAGGCAGGTGAGTACGATAACCGGATCTATAAGGTTGCACGAATAATCAATTAATCGATTCATTCTATAATATCATCTCATATATATCAACCCAGGTAAAAATAATCAAACAAAAACAGATGTCGAGTGATAAGGCATGACCACACATAAAGGCTTCAAACTAGAACTCGATTTCATCCTCGCATGACCTTAATTTCAATCTTCCATTCTAGGCCTTTGTGTGGAATTGAGAGTTCCAGGAGGTGTTTTTTATGTGCTCATGGCCAGCACACCCTGAAAAAAATACCAGCCCAAAAACTTAACCAACATACTTGTTCATTTTCAATTTTCACGCTCCGTATTTCCCCGCTTTAACTTTTGGAAAAAAAAAATGGTTTACCACATATCTGTAGCTATCGACTAGGGATGATATAAAATGACAGAATTAGAAGAACCTCAACTACACATGTAGTGTATTCCCCCGATTACCCTCTTCTACGCTTATTGACGCCTCTCTATCCCTTCTCTCTGAATTTAAGCCCGCTTTTATTATTAATACATCGTAATACTCTGTGGTACCGTTGCGTCATATAGTGCAACGTTAGAAACAACAGCTACTTCCACCCAAAAATAAGTCAAGAATACATGCAGAAATGCGGCTAGGATCTGGGCTCCAGAAAAATCTCCATCGCTCAAGAATGGCACGACATACACCCGCTCCAGACTTTGGGATGTACCCTGCTGCTGGAATTTCCAATGAAGGTCCCCGTGTTTGCATTTGATGGTAGATTCGAGTATATTCTGCACCTTAAATCCCAAGGACAACATAACTATGTCAGAGAAAAGCTTAGAGGAGGCTATCATTGCCCATATGAGTTCTAGACCCTCCCTGGAAGCGATAATCTGGCGAAGTGAAGAGGTCGCTAAGTAGGTAATCTTTATATCTTCAACTATGGATAACGCTTGGGTTCTCATCTTGATATGCTGGAGTTTGTTGCAGAGGGTCATGGCGTAGTATAGTTGTTCAATTTGTTGGTCTTTGGTGCCCCTCTGCCAATCTTGAAGCATCAGAGGGGGAAATATGTATCCGAGGAGGTTACGATCCGATTGAAGGTCGATATGCCTGAAAATTTGATAGATGTCGTAGAGAAGCCTTTCTGTTGGCGAAAAGAAAAAGCCGTCGGGCCGAAACTCCAGAACGGCTTGTTTCATAAGCTTCATAACTGATTCATCCATACGAAGCTTCCCGAGTGCAAATGGGTAGTGATGTGCATAATTATCGAACTCTTTCGGGTCCATGTATCTTCTATCAAATTCGATACAAGCGGTGAAATCAAGCCCTCGACTAACTGCTAATTCCCTCTCCACGATCAAGCGGAACAGACCAAGAGATAGGTCCCAAACTTGTAGTTTATTGGCTTTTCTTATAGCGTCGTTCGATATTTCTACGCCACGGAGAAATTCGGGTAGAAAGTCCGAGTTCGATATACCGGATGATCCATTCTCGTCAGCTGCGGTATAAACGGCATAGGGCCTATCTGCCTTCTTTGGCCATAAAATTCTCATAATATCTTCGTCCTCCTCATCTTCTGACAACACATGGTCAGATATGACTTTTGTGGGCTGGACGTCATCTCTCTGGACTTTGGGTATATCAGAACTGGTATCAGAGCCCCCTAAAAATAATGCACGGCCATCATGCAGGCTCAGGCAGCTTATAGAATGCCAAGCTCGTGGCTCAAGGCTGCAAGCTTCGAATTTTATGTCAAGGTTTCGATAGTACTCGTGTAGATGGTTGGGTATATGATTCGTGATTGCACTCCTCCTTCTGTATTCCACAACACAACCGTCAGAACCGGCTCTGAACTGCAGCCAGCCCAGAGGCCCAGACCATAGTGTTGGAAGAGTTAGGGGCATCTGGAAATTTGGGTTATTCTCAGGTGAATTAAAGCTGAGCATCGAACAAATTGCCACCAAGTCTATTCCCTTCCATCGCATCGGAACAATCCCATCCACAAGCTTGGGCTCGGGTTGCATCTCATAGAGTCTGGTGCACCTGGGGGTCACTCCTAATGCCTGAGTGAAGTTAACCCATCCAGCATCTGCTAAGGCATAATTGCCGGCCTCAAGATGGGAAACGGTATTTTTTGTATCGTGTTTAATATATATATCGGGAAGACCAATCGTGTTCGGTTGAAAGCCGTTCATGAGAAGCATGGGTACGGTGATCGTTGGTGTGGAGATTTGCGTTTGCATTTTGAGCAATGATGGCTTCATCACCGTATCTTTCCACCCACCAAGACTTTTCTCCGAAATCCCCAAGCGATAAAGTTGACGTCGTGAAAGTATCTGCAAGGCCGCCACGTACGCAGTGATGAGAGTGATCAAACTCACGGCGGTTGCTACCAGAGAGCAAGCGGCTGAGATCAAATCGGTTGCTGAACTCGAGCTTGAGCCATTGGAGGTCATCGTAGGAATTGCTCTTTCAGTGAGGCAACTAAAACAAACAGTACTGTATCTCTAGGGCCGGGCCTATAAATTAGTTCCATCATAAATACATCTCCTAGATCACGTGAAAGAATGCCAACCGTATTGATTCGAGAGCTCGAGCGCTGCAGACCTTCAAGATGTACGTACAATTATTGATCTGATTGATATATTTTGTTCCACTCAAACTGTATAGGGGACGTTATGATCTTCGAGGGTATATAATGTAATGTGCTGATAGTAAACTGGGGAAGTACGTATCCCCTTCAATCAATTTCCAGTGCCCAATATATACCCCCCAAATAATAGGCCCAAAGAGGCTAGCTTTTCTACTATACTAACCTCTTTTGGAATGTTACCACTTCACAACACACGCATAATGTTGTAGGACGGCAAAAGGGGCTAATATTAGTTATTATTTGGGAAGTAGTTATTTGATCATCTATTATCGAAAATTCCGGTTTCTACAATAAGCCTGCCTGGAATTCAGAGTATTCACCAGTCATATACACGTATATGCTTTTTTATAATACGGGCATGTAGAGAGAATATCCGTTTGATTAGAGCCTATTTACTAACCGTTAATTCTGACAATTGGCGCTTCGCCACTCTCCAAAGCGGCATCCACAAGTGTCATTTTGCGGCTTGCGCATTTCATATCCCTATGGAGGGGAAGTGTCAATTTTGCATTTTGCAACCGTCAATTTCGAAGTGTCAATTGTCAAAAATGACACTTAGTAAATACGCTCTATTGCAGACTATCCCTTAAGCCGTCAGGACCGATTTCAATCCTGTTACTCAAACCCAATACGGAAGTCGTGATATAACATCGCAGAGAAGTGATCATAGCTCCTCACACTATTTCTTATCGTTAAACCGTGATAGATCACCTCATCATGATCACTTCTCTGCGATGTTATATCACGACTTCCGTATTGGGTTTGAGTAACAGGATTGAAATCGGTCCTGACGGCTTAAGGGATAGTGCAATAGAGAGCTCTTATATAATGATATACCGGACAAAGCTCCCAGGCTCGGTGATGTATTTGACTTGCTGATAAACATGGATTTAGATATGTATAGAGCGAACCAATTGGCCAAACTTAGATAGGCAACTTTATACAATTTCACAGGCAACCCCTCTGTCTTCGACATTCGGGGCACTCTCGAGCTCCGTCATCTTATCCCTCGAAAAATATTGGCTAGGTGCTTACCCATGACCGATCGCGACAAACGGCGCAAAGGCAGCGTATATACACCACCTCTCCGCCATCTTACCCCTCGACCCAGACCTATCCATGGTGCAAACTAGGTGATGTATATATATACACCATCCTTCCGCCATACTACCCCTCTCCAAGCACTTACCTAGACCGATTCACGTAATTGTGCTAGGGCGCTATCAATCCCTATAGCTACATGTAACGATGGTAAAGTGAAGCTTATAATTAAGCTCGTTCACGAGAACCATCGACATTATATTATACACATACAGTTCTACGTAACCCAGACAGTGGACCGAAATAATGGACTTTTTCGGCTTCTTCAACTTACTATAGCTAATGTAAACTGAAAACCCCGTTTATATATCACAACAGTCCCACTGGACAGCTGCAAGCTGCCACTTGTCTCTTAGATGATCCTATGCGAAACCCTTGAAACGCATCCTATTGTAAGCGGAAACTCAAACTTCAGTGTAGTTATAGTTCTAGGGAGATGCAATACATACATAATCATGGTATATCACTCTGAGAATTTGGGAATTGCTTGCCAAGCTTTGTGTAAAGTGCGCCCTCTTCACAGCTCCCAGGGAGGCGGAACCTGCGCATGAAGACTTTATGGAGCAACATTCCTTGCCAAGAAATTCTGGATGTGTACCGCAGCCATAAATAGCCCTTTCGAAGTTTCTTGCTCATAAAAACCGATTCCGATCTTCTCCATTACTTCTGATATTTAGGAGCCAATGATCAGAAAACCACGCCCAGGATTATCCTTGACACCATCTCATTCTTACCCCGCCGCATTCTTACGTTCTATCCGATCTTACTCTTTCCGCCTCCAAGATACGACCTGTCAAGGCGATCAGGATCTGCGCTCACTGCGCATGCTCGATCTCCCTTTCTTTTTGTAGGTTTGTTTACGCGTGTTCGGTAGGCCATTAGAAATTAAGCCGAGGGCCACGGGCACTTCTAGGCGGGAGTTTGACGGCGGTGATACAAGGGTAGAGACAATTCTCATTAAGTTTCGGGATTTGTATGAAACACAGTACGAGTGGTACATCGTTGTTTGCAGGTGGGATGTTGTTTGCTCGTTTGATAGATAGGGTTGGCCGAATTCGCGAAGCTGATCATGAACGTGCGATACGTCTATACTATATTTTTTGATTAGATTTGAAATATAAAGTACCGTGTTACTCTCAATGACGTAGAATTGATTAGATCACATATAGAGAGTTGAATTGAATCCAACCACGCATCCACAGCTTGTACTTAGGCCGGCCTAGCTGTCCTTGCAAGACTTCAAAAACAAACAACCTGGCCCGCGCCGTAAGAGCTGATCTGATTAGGTGATTGTTCTAGCCACTTGTCAGCAATTAAACTAGCTGCGATATATATACATATATCCTTGCGATAAAATCACTTCCACAATCCATCTATTTCACAACATCCTCCATCTCTGCGCAGGAATTGGCTCTTCGAATCACCTCTCCCCACTGGATATCGTTGCGCCACAACCAGACCAAACCCCACGCCCCCCAACGCCACACCTTAAATCCCCTAGAAGCGGCCCCCAATTAAGTTTGCACCCATCTCCCCCCCCCCCCCCCCCGAAAGTGCAAAAAATCGCGTCTCCCTGCAAAAGCCAAAAATAAAGAAAAAGCCAATGGCCACGACCAACAGCACAAGAACCCACCAACAGCGTTCGGCGCGCAAGCCTACGCGCGAGCCGGTTGTGGAGATCCCCGACAGTGACGAGGAAGATGGCAGCGACGGAGAGGTGGAAGAGGAGAGCTCTCGAGGGGCCTCAACCACCGCGCTGGTGGGGGGAAACGCGGGGCAACAACAGCTGGCCCTATCCGAAGATGAACAGGAGGAGGAGCAGGAGCAGGAACAAGAGGAGGAGGACGACGATGACGAGGGCGATATGTGGGAAAACGAGTCCCTCCTCCGAGACGTTGTCGGGGACGGTAGTTCTCCGGTGATCTTTGAGCCCCGTGAGTGCTACCTTACCTTACCTACATAATCTACTTCCTACTGCATTGCTTGCGCTTACTTGCGCTTGCTTCGCGTTTCCCTCCTCCTCCTTCTCCTCCTCCGCCGCTGCCAGCTAGCAACCAGTGAGGGAACTAATTGCTCCCGCGACTACTATTAGATGAAGACGCGTTTTCAGCAGAGGAAGCAAAGGAGCTTCGACAGCTCCTACGGCGAGTCGGGGAACAGAAATTCTTGGAACAGACAGTAATGAGCAAGAGTGGAGCTATCACTGCGAAAAAGCTCATCACAGCTTTTGGGATCAGGCCGGTGCGGAATTTCCCGTCTCTCCACCGGTTCATGCGATTTTCTTCATAGGGTAGAGAGGCTAACACGATGTTTGTTTGATTTACAGCCAGAATTCCTAGAAGGCTCGCCCGACCATGTGTACTACAGGTTTCTACAGATCGGTATTGCGCGGGAGCTGGTGAAACGGACAAAGCTACCACAGTACAACACTCCCGAGGATGTCAAGAAGCTTCTTCTTGAGTCAAAGAACATAATAGTTCTCACTGGCGCAGGTGTAAGAGCTCCCCTCCCTCCCGTCAAAGCTCACATCACTGACGCATTTCAGATCTCAACATCTCTCGGCATCCCCGACTTTCGCTCCAAAGAAACCGGTCTCTACTCCCGTCTTGCCTCTCTTGGTCTCTCAGATCCACAAGAAGTATTTGACCTCGCTGTCTTCAATGATGACCCCACGTTAGTGCTCCTCTCTCCCTAGCTACTCTACCTCTAACCCCCCACATAGGATATTCTACTCCGTCGCCAAAGACATTCTCCCCACCACCGAGAAGTTCTCCCCTACACACGCCTTCATCGAGCTATTACAGCGCAAAAACAAGCTACTCACCCAATACACACAAAACATCGACAACCTCGAAACGCTCGCCGGCATCCACCCCTCCAAGCTGATCCAATGCCACGGCAGCTTTGCGACCGCCTCATGCATCAAATGCCGCACGCGCGTCCCCGGGACCACCATCTTCCCCGACCTCCGCGCTGGCAAGGTCGCGCGTTGCGAGGCCTGCCTCCTTGCCAACAAGACTGCTACAGCAGGCAGGAAACGCAAGCGCGGGCGGAGCGGCGATACCTGGAAGAAGAAGCGGTACAGCGAGGACTCGAGCGCCGAGGAGGAGGAGTTCGAGTTCCGCGAGGCCGGCGTCATGAAGCCGGATATAACCTTCTTTGGGGAGATGCTGCCCGACACGTTCTACAAGCGTCTCATGGAGCAGGACCGTGAAAAGTGTGATCTCCTGATCTGCATCGGCACCAGTCTTAAGGTCGCGCCCGTGAGTGAGATCATCGGGTTGTTGCCTGAGCATGTGCCGCAGATCTATATCTCAAAGACGGTAATACCCTTCCCCCTCCCCCTTTTTTTTTCTTTCCGCGAGCACAGAGCGCAGAGCACATTTACTAACAGAAATAGCCGGTAACCCACGTCGAGTTCGACATCGACTTTCTAGGCTCATGCGACGACGTAGTAGTCGAGCTCTGCCGCCTCGTCGGCTGGGAGCTGAAGCACGAGATGATACCCGAGGACCTGAAGGTCGACATGGTCCTCGAGGAGGGGTACCCGAGCCGGTACATCTGCACCCGGAATGAAGAGCAAGAGCAGGACGAGGTCTCCTAAACATGTATCGGCGTTGATTTTGCTTTGGCATTGGCTTTGGGTTCTTTTATTTTTTTTTTCTCTTCAATACAATTTCCACCCTCACCACACTACCCACCACCCACGTCTTTTTTTAATCCTCTTTTTTTTCCCTGCTTTTTTTTCTTTGTCATCTATTTTTTTTCTATCCATGCCCCTTATATGTGTATTTTTTTTGTTTATCCTTTTTTTCTTTCGTTTTGTTTAGCTTGGGGGTACGTAATTGCGGTGATGAAATAGAGTCATGTCACGTGTATACGGAGGGAAGTTAGGTTGGCGGCGGGGACGGGGGCGGGGGGCGGGGGGCGGGGGAGGTTGCAGCATATCATAGTACCGTTCGTGCCATTGGGGGGGGTTCAATTAGTTTCGTCACATGCGGGATTCGCCATGCAAGAAAGAGGGTTACGGTCGATTAGCCATACATATAAATAGGGAACGCATAAAAGATAAAAAGAGCGAATCATTGGCACCGCCTACAATCCTAATCCTACCCAGCCTACCATATCATCCCCTCCTCAAAAAACCATCCTCTCCACCACCCTCTTAACAACCCCATAACACCCGCCAAACACCCTCTGCACACACCCGCCCCCCTCACGCTCCAACACACCCCGCCACACCCCCGTCCCGCTAAACACAACCACCACCCGCCCCGCCCGCTGCAGATAAAACACCACGAGCTGGTCCTCCATGTAGATATTACTCAGACCCGCCTCCACCCCCGCCTCCTCGCCCCCCTCCCCCTCATCAATGGCAAAGCCGGTAAACTGAACCGCCGGCACGCCATTCACACCGCGAAACACGTCCAGCACAGCTGTATCAATTGACGGCGCGACCGACTCGAGATACGGGTGCAGGTAGCCCTGCTGGAAGTATTTCGTCGTGAGACCTATCGAACCGGCGAATGTCAATGATCAGAAACGCGCGAGTGATACACTGTGATGCAACATACCGTCCTGCGTCTGTTTTATAAGCTCGCGCCGGCGGCGCCAGGCTGCTTTGAAAGTGTTCTGCATCTGCTGCATCATCTCCTCCTCACCGCCACTTCCCTCGCCAACACCGCTTTCCCACGCAGCATGCACAAGGCGCGCGAAAGCGACGGATTCAGTCGTAACAGGCATCATCTCGTCGCACCGTCCATAACGGAAGTCGCGCAGCAGGACGGGCTGCCAGATGGGTGGTATGGTGCCTGTGGGGGAGATATTGATGAGGGTGGCCTGGAGGGCGAGGTTGAGGAGCGTGTCTGTCAGGCGCGGTGAGGGCGGGGGCGGGAGGATGAGTGCCTTTACGGTGCGGGGGATGGGCTCTACGACGGCTGGTGGGAGCTGGGGAAGGGTCGGGGGTGGGAGAATATGGATTCTGATGGGAGCGGGGGGAGTGAGTGGGGAGGTGGGCGTGCTGGTGGGCGTGGCGGCGATGTTCGCGAGGAGGGTTGCGAGCTCCATTGCGGGGCCGCAGTCGGAGGGGGCGTGGTCGAAGGAGAGGCTCGTTGTACCTATAAACCATATAAATTCAGCACGATCCCACAGCATAGACCCCAGGCTCATCTACCATCCGAATACGACACCACCGTCAGCGTCTGGTCCGCAAACCTATTCTCGCTCCCCCCACCCGTCCTCACACCATCCAGCCTCTCCGCCCACCCCTCTTCCGCAACCCCCTCCTCCAACGCAACACTCACAAGACTCCCATACAGCACCCCCAGCGCACCCTCGTTCCCCGCAACCGCAGCATACGCCGCCCTCTGCACGCACCACCCCGCCCGATCCAGCCGCCATGACACCGCCGCCAGCGACGGCCCCGCCCGCGCCTCAACAGGGCTCTCCAGCACCTCTTGAAGCTGCGCATCAATAGCATCCACCGAGAAGACAACCCCCTCACTATCCACGAGCTCGACCCGCCACGGGCATCCCCGGTGCCACACTACCGCGTGCCGCGCCAGCGCCGGGTCTACGTACTGCAGCGCACATGTCTCCGCGGTTATTGGGACGCGGAAGGCGGTGCAGAGGCCACGCAGCTGCCATTCGAGGCGTTGCTGGGCGGTGTTGTAGACGCCGCTGCCGCCGGGGAGGATGTATTCCTTTGTCCAGACGGCAACGGCGCGGAGGAGGGCGGCGACCTTGTGCGTGCGGGTTGTGAGGGGGGGTGGGAGGGTGAGGAGGAGGGTGAGGCGGGTGCTGGTTGGGACGGGCCAGCGGGTGGAGAGGAGGATCTCGAGGAACCAGTGGGTGGACCAGTTGGTGGTGGTGGATTGGAGGGTGTTGAGGAGGCTTTGGGTTTGTGTGGGGGTGAGGACGGGGTGCTGGAGGGAGGTGTGGTAAGATTTGAGGAGGTCGGCGGGGAGGAGGGCGCCCGCGGTGGCGCCGAGGCGGGTGAGGAGGAGGGGGATATTGGGGATGGGAAGTGGCGGGCGAGGGTCCGGTGGGGGGGTGACGGCGTAGTTGCTCATCTTAGCTGTGAGCTGAGTAGATATTTTTCTATAAGTCTATGAGAGATGAGATATTAGAGACCAGCGCCATACTAATCAATAAGTACAGGTTAACCAACGGATATTTAACAGCTATTTAGCTATTGAGCGCGAGAGGCCCCGCAGTAGCTATCCTCCCCTCGGAGCCCGCCGCCTCAATCCCGAGTGAGTCAAAAGCTGCACTTTTTTCCCTCTATTCCCTACTTTCCCCTCTCCGATGTAGATTTGGAAACATTCCCCGTTTGGAAGGAGCACCGTATCCAATCCCTGCGTAGATTCATCTAGGGAAGCTTGGCCCCGGGTTTATAAATAGTCCGTAAATTAAAGCTAGGTGCTGTATTATATGCGTATCATCATTTCACCATCAATTGTTCCGCATCCCACTTGATTGGGCAAATAAATATCCGATAGCTAACGAACATGATCTGCCGTATTAAAGGCGGATCATGGGTGATCACTCGGCCCAATCACATGCTGCTGGAGGCCGTTGCCAAGTCCCGTTCTACTATTGCTAAACATGCGGGTGAGCCAAGAAGAGCACTTGACTCGCTCTCTCACGGGCCACGTTCCGGCCAGCATATGGTGCCCGTCGTGCGTGGTGAGTATGAGGGTGAGTATATATAAGGATGCTGGGCAATTCGAGATGCGGAGAATCGATGGGACCCAATAGATACATCTTGCTTGGCGCCGTGGTGTTTCAAGTGAGGCCTCTCTTCCGGCTGTATATAGATCTACTCGTTAGTAATAGCAAGCAGTTGATGAAACATCTCCACGAAACAGAAGGGAGGGAATTTGGCCCAAAAGTCACAAGTGGAAAAGAGGAGATTTTGCCCACTGTACGGAAGGTAGGAAGTGACCATCGCGCCAAGACCAGGTATCAGCATGGCTAGACTAACAGAGATATGGCGTAGGTATATGGGCGGATAGCCGGGCGGGAAGTAAGACTTCCTTCCTCTCCCATGGCCATGCATTGGCGGTGCAGATGAGAGGTAGATCAAATGGCCAAAACTTGGAGTGATCCTCCAGAGGTGTGGCGCAGGCCGTACGGCGATAGTTGAGGTGGCCAGTGCCATATGGGTCAGCTTTATCGGATCCTTTATCGATAAAGATATAGGCGAATCCCCAGCTCCATAGATGTCGTATCTCGAAGAACTCGAGTAAGAAGATACATGTAGTACTGGCTATGGTCGCTCCCCAGCGACGGAAAGAACGAGAGACGACGTATACCCACGGAAAAATACTAAGTAGTTGAATGTTGTCCAGACAGAACTAGTAGCCAAGTAAATATACTAATATACCAAGTCAACGAGAGCACACGTTACTTTTCCAATGAACACAGTACTAGGTACATCACTGTACTACTCAAAACACCGCCCGGCCCCAGGCCTTGGAGTACGGAATATCACATCAACTCCTGAACAAAAGGCAGTCGCTCCCATAAGCAGAACCCGATACCAAACTTCCCACTAGCACGATGGACACCCAGGGGAGTATTACTATAACGAGCACTGGTACTGCCATCCAGAAGGTCTCATCCCCTCTTGCACGGTCTTGGCGTCGATTATCTCGCATTATCATCTACACTAGTATCATACAATTAATGAAATAATCAATCAATCAATCTGCATTAGTATCTTCCTTCGTACAATCTACATTTGTAGGAGTTCTTACTGCCAAATACGCCCCAACGAACTCTCTCCATTAGTAGATTTTCGTCACTACGAAACCCTGCTGCTTGCCAAGTACCCAGCCCCTGAAAGCTGCACGCAAACCCCGCCATCACATGACTCCGTGGCGCAACGGTAGCGCGTTCGACTCCAGATCGAAAGGCTGCGTGTTCAAATCACGTCGGGGTCAGTTGACGAATTTTACTAATGTGGTCCATCCATTTGGAGCATGTGAGTAGTGCTTCTTTGAATATCATTTTTGCTGGGCTTGGACACAGGGGGGATTCAAGTTTCTGTTTGTTTTATTTGATTGCTGTGCCTTTTGAGAAGGAGTCTATCTAGGCGGTCGTCACTATCTATGTCTATGGGATTATTGTGCTCTAAAAGTCTTCTTTAAAAGCTTTGGGCCCTTTCATAGCCTAAAACTACTACTACTCCATGAATCAGCCCGTCCAGGAGTGTGATCATGTCTCTAGAGATTCAATATACTTTCTGCCGCTACTTTAAAGTCAATGCTACTCGGACAGGTCCGACTCTTTTAGAAATTATGGACCCAAGTGCCGGACCAAACGGCTGGACTTTGTCCCGTACGCAGACAGGATAGCATACTAATTAAGCGTCTACATATGGCTGCCCATATTAGTAAAAAGCAGTCAGTTTAAACCAATAGGTCCATATCGCTGTTTCAACTCGAGTCCCCCCAAAGCAGCGATCAGCATTAGCTCTCAAGCCTAGCTGTGAGCCGTATCGTGCTCGCACCGGCCGGCCGGCTGGGCTGTCCAGAAGTGGCTGTATGTAGAATCTATAGCCAGAAGCGGGCTAATTCTTCAAATTGTTGGTTTCTAGGCTTGCAATTGGAGTGTAGATCGGCCCAGGTGTAGCGGTGATAGGTAGAAATGATCGGTTTACCATAAATTTATAGCAGCAGAGAGTACGTTTGTGAGTGCCTTGGCTCAAATGCGGTCTTAGATTGGTCGAATATACAGCTTCCGGTAGAATAATTGCGAAAGTGGGTTTTCCGTGACCCGATAGTCCTATTGGCCTTGAAAGGTTTTTGCTGCGAGCACATACCAACAAACCTACTCTTTTAGTTCTCGCTTTCGCAATGATTCTACCAGAAACTATATATAGCTTCGATCCTCAACCCGTTGAATTGGGCCGTTTTTGGTACCAAGATGTAGTCCGCATCCTTGATACGCATGTAGTGCACCATCCAGGTAAGGCATCTCATTAAGACCCTGATCATGCCACCAAGAACCAAAGCCAACAAAACAAAGCCCTAAATCACAACTCCAAGGGCCAGGCTGACCCAAAAAATAGTCACTGACGCAAGATAAAGTTCCGATCCCCAACCGTAGAACTGCACCCTCCTATCAACCCAGCGCAGCACCCATCTCCACCTCAGTGGTTCGATTCGATTAGCATATGTATCCCAGGGCCAATTCTGGGTTCACAATTTCCATAACAGTGGTCGTACCACCGGCATGAACAGGTACCACCGTATCCACCAGACCATATACCCTGCCGGAGAGTTACGGGTACCTTCATAAGGGGGTTATATTCGTCCTTCCTTCCTTTCTCGGTATCTTTCTCATCTAATAAGCCCTCCCGCAAATGTACCCCTTCGCAAACCTTATCTCTCCATAAGCTTGCCCGGGTCAGTTGATTTATCCCCACTGCCATGGTACACCCGAACATACCCGCCATTCCGTCCACCCACCCACGCCACACCACGCCCTTTTCACAGGTCCCGATAAAACGGCACAAAATGTGACCACAGGACCCGAGACTTACAACCGGGATTTGTGGAGATAAAACAAGTCAGATATCCAGTCCAACCCTAACCCTTGACAATCTTAGCCATTGTTCACAACCGTTTATTCCGCTCGTGAAGCGGATCTCGCATTGCAGCAAGATGAGGCGGGGATCCTTGCTTTGCGACGAGGTGGTGGTAATGGGCTGGAACTCTTCACCCGCAGCGCTGCAGCGCTGCTCCTAAAGACACCAGATATCAGACTTATCCACTATCTAGAAGGACCGCCAAATTGTCCGGTAATCGATTCAGATACCCACGACCAAGGAAGCCACAACCTATATCCTAGTCCCACTTCTTCGTCTCCTTACTAGGAGCTGGTACTCTACTGCATCTTGGGGCAGCTATCTGCGCAGCTGCTCTTCTGGTGCACCGGACGCTATTTAAGCTCTAGAGCGCCCCATACAATACTCGTACCGCAAAAATTCACTCAAAGCCACCTCTAGCAGCAATAGTACAATCGGACCTGAAAACCCACCTCGGAGCAATACCACTAGCATCTTGGCTCCACTCGGGGAATATCGCACCTCCCTCCGCCTGCCAAAAGCCGAGTGACCATCCATGATTCTAAACCCGACGGGGGCGCTTAGTCACCAACAAACGAAGTAGTGACAAGTCACATTTCCCAATCGTTCCAATAACAACTACCAACATTTAAACGTGGGATAATAGAGCGTTTTAGCTGTGCCAGTTGAACAGAAAGTCGGACAGGTTGGACAGAAATTCTAACTATTTTAGGCAAAGACTTGCAAGGATTCGGCCAATAAGAGGTAAAGGACTTTCTGTCCAAGTGCTCGACTTTCTGTTCAACTAATAGAGTCATTCAGCTGCGCGAGTTGAACAGAAAGTCGAGCACTTGGACAGAAATTCTAGCTGTTTTAGGAAGAGACTTGCAGTCGTTCAACCGATAAGATATGTAGGAATTTTTGTCGAAGTGCTCGACAACTCTTGCTCTGATACTCTTCAGGCACAATATAGTAGGTACTTGCTGTACCAAACGATCATGAACTCTCACGCGCCCCCGCCAGGGTCCATAAGCCTCAATGATCAGCCAATGCAAGCACCCTGCATACAAGAGTGCTCTAGCATGCGCAGCACAGCTACCTAGGCGCCATAACCATTCACTCTAACTAGGTCCAGCACAAGAAAGAAGCACAACGCCCAGGATCAATGTCGACTAAACAGTCACGATGGACGGATACCCCCCTCACACGCCACGGGCTTTTGCGTGCGTTACCGATATCCGGAGCACATTATACATGCTGTGCCCCGGTAACTCAGCTCGGGGCACCAAAACAGGCAGGGCAGGTATAATTCTACACGTAGGTGTGTAAGTGTACATACATGTAAGTACGTACTCTATCTACTTTACTTACACCTTATCCGTGCTGTTCACGAGCGACAATCCACATAACCCGAGAACAAGTGAAAGGGAATGAAAGGTCAGACGAGTTTGAAACATCCTTTTCGCCGCAGGTCTCAAGTCACACAGGCCAGACAGACCCTTAACCGAGAAGAAAGAAGGCTGGGGTGGAGATTGATGGACATAGTACACGTACCATTTCTAACAATTGCGGTGGGGGGGCAAGGTGCAACAAAAGTAGAGCACACATGTACACGTAGGGCAGGAAGGCATTTCACCCATCGCCTCCCAGTAGGGCAACTCTGGGTGGCGTTTCAGTCTTCGACATTCAACCTCAATCGCACCACAAATATGGTGAACCACTGGATAGAAGTAAATATTCTCTACCACCGCCGCCGCCGCTGCTGCTGCAGTGAAAGGCCCTGATCAATCCACAATGGCCAGCTCGAATAAAAAGAAAATCTCCAATTATGTATGCATGTAGCTCATTCACTCCGCCACTCTCGTGACATATCATCACTGCCTGTGTTGTCAGTAAGGCAGGCTCCCATTGCCCTAACCACCGGGATACTCTACCTAGAAGGCATGGCCAGGGCCTCGGAGCACTTCTTTATGTAGAAGTAGCCTGCAAGGGCGTTCTGCCCCATAAGCGAAGAAGAAAGTAAAAGAAGCAAAAAACTGGTCCGCGTACCCCCCGACGTATGTAAGATCAAAAGGCCTAAGAACCGATGATGGGTTTTTTTAACAAGTAATGTAGGTATGCGATCGAGATTTCAACTTTAAGACTTTGTTTTGGTGTGTTATTTTCTTTGCTGATTGACATGATAGGCGAGATTCGAGATCAATGGCTTCTTTTTTTTCCCTGCATACATATAGAGTACACATTCTAGACATCATGTGCTGAGTGAGAACTAGAGTGTGTTCAGTTATGGCCATGTAGAGTGGAGTATCTCCTTTTGCGGCGTAGATTAGCTGCTCAATAGCTTCCGAAACGAAGGGAGGATTGGTGCAATTCCATCAACGACATCTTCCGTTAATTCTCCTTCCGCATTGCTACTTGGAAATTATGAATCGAATGGGGTTGGGATTGATGGTTCCCCGTCGACTGTCGACGTGCCCGGGTACATACGGCGCAGTACTAGAGGCAACCCTAGAATACTCAATTAGCACTTCCACTCGCCCGCATCTCATCGAGGTACCTTCATCTCGCCTACAATCGTGATTCCTATAACCACGTCAGTTCTCTTGCTTGAAAAATTTGCTTGTTGCGATTTGCATCACTACATACCCCACGCTCGTCATCCAAGAAAGGGGAAAAAAGAACAGGAGAAAACAGGAAAATTGCGAACCGGCCTGGTGCGACCCCACATCCAAAAGTAATTGCCGATCGTTGGGATATTATTCATTCTGTTCACGAGTGACATCGAATAGAGTAACTCGTAATTCCTAGTCCTAGTCAGTGCCAACGTGTCTGCGATGTTCGTCCCCGCGGACGGGAGATGGGCGTGCGGTATGAGGTCCGATCGAGATCTCAGATCAGGGAGTACAAACCAACCTATCTCAGCCTGGTACCGGTAAGTGGCTCTCCGAGGCGAAGTCTTTTTTTTCTTGTGTTGACAGGCCCTGCATAAGATTGTCTGATTTATCTACCCGCACGAGCCCCCTCAATACTTTCCCCACGAACCAGTGGGGCATGCAGATTAAGATGACATGCCAAGATCTTTTCTTCCTTCTTCTTTTAAAATGCTGTCCGATATAGCGTCCCTCCACTTGAATATAATAATTGTTCAATTAACAAAAGCAAGCGACGAAGCCACCGGCTATTATTGCATTCTATTGTTTGGATAACGTCCGGCACGTACACGCATGTTCAACACCACGTGGATTAACTGCCGAGGCCCCGGTATTCTTCACCGCAACCCTCATAGGAAGAAATAAATCATTCATCGTATAGATGAGGCCTGATCATTTCGAGTTGTTCGCTTTGAAAATTTCCTCGGACTCTCGTCTCAATTCATATAGGGAGCTAGACATCTGCAGTCATCATTAATGGAATCCAGCACTCGAGGTAGGTCTGTCCGACATCACACATAACGAGTGACACTTATTTATGTGAAACCAAGCAGACAGACCTTTGATACCCTGTGTGACTTTTTTATTCCCACGCTCATAACTAACCAATCTGCCGCGTCGGGGATGAGGGCTTGATTTGACGTCCAGCTGTAGCTTTCGGCAGTCGTGGTTACCCGGAGCGAGTGATAGTATGTGAATAATCTCGCCTGAACGTAAATTTATAAACCTTGAACGAGTTGCAATTGCGTTATAAGACGTGTATACGTTCTCATTGGCTGGAAGAAAATTGCCACTTCCTTCATTCCGGGATTTGGAAAGGCTTCTCTAAAGTCAAGACCAGTTAATTTCCCGGGAAGAAGGTTTATCAAACCGAGATTATGCCCGCGTAATGAAACGTAGCGAGCGAGAATTTTATTCCTCATCCATGTTCCCGACCTTACGATGCAAACATCAGGCGATAAGTGGGCATGAAAAGCCAACCCAGTGCTTAGTGAACCGATAGTAATCCAGGATCATGGGATAGAGCGTATTTAATCTGGTGTACTGGACTAACAACCGGCGAGATCGCTGAGACACCACTCTCTGAGAAATCTATCGACAAGGATATTAACCTGAGTCTGCATTTCTGCACTTTTTCCTAGCTTTATGCTTGTTTCTGGCTGTTTGTTTGAAAGAGATAATATTTGGTTGGCGGTTTCGACCGGATCGGACGCAGGGAACCGGCGTGGTTATATGCAGGATGCAGGTTAGAGGAAGAAGAGACGGAATGGCTACGATACGTTATGTAAAGAAAGCCAAAAGCCGAAGGGTCGATTGTGGACTCAGCGGCTATGTCTCGCCTCAGGTAAATTCCCATGGCAACATCAAATTTGGCTATCCCCAAGCCCGTCGATGATTATTTGCGGGACAAACGCCACGGGTCGTCTACTCTAGTCGTAGGATTAAGGGCATATGTAATTGGCAAGGAGCGCACTAGCACTAGCCACTATCTTGGCCCCTACGCAGAGAGTCTCCATCTTTTTAACGGCCGGTTATGGGATGAAAGTTGCACTTAGACTTCAAGCCGCTGGATCCGCTCAGCCTCTCAATTGGATCAGCTAGAGACTTTGATCTACCGTTAATCATTAAAAGAACAGCCCAGGTTCAGTTCAGATACAGGCCAGACCCGTGCAGAAATGGGGCGTATCCTGTCAAGTGATCCTGCCTGATTGGTTGCGATAGTGACGTTCTCTGTGTATTGCCATTACCTATCGCACCAAATTTACTTAGTTTGGGAAGACTGGTTTGCGATGACTCCTTTGCCCTGTAATTTTGAATTAAAACCGGGCTCTTATTTCGAGATTTAACGATAATCAAACTGCCACAAAGTCTTATCAGCTCTCAGGAATATCAATAATATCATGTGTTCATGCGCAATTGCCTTACAATATGGGAGTGAAAAGTGCTAGGGCGGGAATAAAAAAGGTCCAGAAGACCACCGGAGCAGAAAAGCCAGGTCCAGAACATTTCTGGCTATGCTTTTTCTTTCTTCTAGCTGACCTGCAGGCCGGCCTCCGCAGTTGCGACAAAAGACACACAGTCGAGAACCGAGGATTGCCGAGTCAGAGCATATGTGCTATAGCCTATCCCTACGATAAGGATATAGCACTTTGGCCCTAGCCGGTATCTATAAGGAGAGTCATTTGTAACTGAAAAAGCCTGTATGGTGAATATTAGAGCCATCAGTCAGTAGGTACATGAACATACATACATGGCGATGATGATGAAGTTCAAGTGATTAAGGACGAGGATGAGGATGAGGACGAAGAAATTATATTTCAACTCAAGTAGCTAGCTGTATCGTGATGACGTTGCCGAAAGTCAATTTAAACGTTGTTCATGTAATTCTATGTACAACTTCCTACATAAAGTTTCTAAACAGTTTTTGCCCCCAAAAAGCGATATTTAAACCCAATAAAAAATTCCTTTAAATTTACCAATAACAGGAATTCCCCTGACACTCCAAGACTACGACTAGGACCAGGGCCCACGGGTGAGCAACACTCCATACTGCTCTAGTGTTGGTCGGACTAGTCTTAGGCTTAGTCTTATTCTTAGACAGGGATCCCGCTTGTCAGCCCTACACCCACCGCCAAGATGCCTAAGCCATTTCCAGCCACATCTCCAGCCACAGTCCTTCTCCGCACACAAAGCAGCGACCCGATCTCCTCGCAAACCCCCTGCCGCTTCATGGAAACGGCGTGAGCTTTTCACCTGTTCATTCTTTTCTTTCCCCCAGCCCAGACGCCGCCCTTAACTACCCTCGCTGCTCACTAACCCCCACTTGAACTTTCCCGACTATCAATCATTCACGCACGCGGGGTCTGTGGAATTCCCGTTTCCTTTGGGGGCGCTGGGAAAAGCGAAACTGAACGGCCTAGCTGTGGATTAACTACTTACTTACACTTACACTTGCACTTACTTACTTGCCTTGTAGTTATTATACCCACCACCACAAGGCGATATTGTTTTATCCTGTAGCTAGCTTACCCCATATAGATACAGTATATACCTACCTACAGTTATATCATATAAAGAGAAAGAGAGGGAGTTAGCTATATATATAATAGCTAGCTAGGAGGTATATATTCCCACGATGGACGCCGCGCCAGACAGCCTCGATGAGTGGCGAAATCGTCTGTTCCATGTAACGGAGATCATGACACTCTCCGAGGAAGAGTATATCTTAATTCCCACCTCTCCCTCAGACACCCGCTAACCTCTCTTACCACTAGATGGAGCACATACTGGCCCTACGTCGACAATATCTGGTACGCACCCCCTCCTCTCCCCCTCTTCCCATGCACCTTCCCTCCCCTACCCTGCCCCATTAACGCACACTCAGGTCTCACCGCTCTACCCAAAAATCAAAAAAGGGTCCATTCCAAACTCATTACTACGACTGTCGCCTGAAGGGACGTCCCCCAGGCACCCCACAGAACCAGGACCCTAACAAAAAGAAGCGCAAGCGTACAGCGCGCGAGCGCGACCTCTGCGATATGAAAATCAAGGTGATCGAGACGTTTGGTGGGCCAGCCGGGAGGACATTTACGATCGAAAGAGTGAGGAAGGAGGGATTGGCGGGGAGGGTGAGGGTTGGTGATCCTGGGGGTGATGATGTACTGGAAGGTATGGGTATGGGGGGTATGGGAGGCATGGTGCTGGATGGTAGTGGTGGTGCAGGCGACGATGGCGTGGCGGGATCGGAGGTGATAGGCGCTGGGTTAGACCAGTATGGACTTCCGGGAATGCTAGGGGAGGTACATAGGCACTCACTCGAGGAGAGCGATCGAATTAAGAAATGCACGGTGGAGAGGGAGGGGATTAAGAGACAGAAGGAGATGAAGAAGGTGCAGGTGAGTTGCTCTCCTTGTTTTAAGTTGTTTCGTTTGGTTGTTGCCGGGGGTAATGATCGTGGTGCCTGTTCTTCTTGGTCCTGCTTTTTGGGGGTCGGTGGTGATCTTCATACATGTAGAAGCATGGGTTGTACTTCTCAACGTGCTGTACGCCCATCGATCCCATGTGTGCTACTCCTGTCCTATTACGTCATCGGAGTTAGGTCCTTTCCGACTTCCTGTGTTGCTATTTTATTCTGCGGAACTTCCAGCCTGATTTTTCTTGTTGCGCGCGTCTCCTTTTATACATATGTACAGAAACTTAATGTCTTTTCGAATTTTACAATTGCGTATAAACCGCAATCACTTATTTTCTCCATCTCAATTGTCTCGTTCCCGATTTTCTCCGTTTCAAATCTCTTCCTTTCAGATCTTTCCATTTGCGTTTTCTATTACCACTATCATTACCACCTCTCCCGCTTCTATCATCACCCCAACTCGTTTCTTTTCCGCCTACCACAAGAATCTTGAGATGTCTGACCCATCCCCCCCACCTCTGCCCTCCCATGCGGGAAAGGCACCCGGGCAGAGACAGCAGAAGACATACCCCAAGAAAGCGTCCGGCCAGGCCCTGCAGACCGTCAAGCGTCACTCCAAGCCTAATGAGCTTAAGTTGTTTGGTAGCTGCTTCTGGTCAGTTAATAAAATTACCTCCCCCATACTTTCTTTTCGCTCCGAGTTAACCGGTTGGTTGTATAGCCCATTCGTGCAGCGCGTTTGGATCGCCCTTGAAGTCAAAGGCCTCAACTACCAATATATTGAGGTCGACCCATATAAGAAGCCGCAAAGCCTTCTTGATATTAACCCCCGCGGCCTAGTGCCGGCGCTCAAGCACGGCGAGTATGCATATTACTTTCCTCCTCCCATTATCCCTGTGTGGATTTTGCGCAATAGAGCCAGCTCTATTCCTTAGAGCCGTGTTCGATCACGAAGCAGATTGCACAGCTGTATATGTTATTAATAACCCAGAGCTGATATGAGATGTGTGCGAGCAGCTGGGGCTGCTATGAGAGCACCGTACTGCTCGATTATCTGGAGGACCTTGGTGTTGGAACCGCATTGTTGCCCGAGCATCCGCAGCTCAAGGCGACATCAAGACTGTGGGTCGATCATGTAAGGAACCATCCCCCATCAATTGAGGTATGAAAGCGTGGGCCTTACAGCGGATGTGTGAGTAGGTGAACCGCAATATCGTACCCGGCTTCTATCGGTACCTGCAGGCGCAGGAACAACAAAAGCAGGTTGAGCTCGCAGAGGAACTTCGGATCGAGGTGGGTATCAGGGTCCCCTTTCTCTCTTTATATTATCAATTCTACCCATTCCTAGCCCGTGATCGGCATATAAGATACCCCTCACATTACATCGTACGACACCACTCCCAAGAAACAGGAAACCGTGGTTCCAATGATTCAAGCCCTGTTTTCCATACCTTGCTTTCCATTATTACTACTCCTTTCCTTATGTAGAAGTCACCATCACCACTCTTTTCCTTATAGAGAATCCTGCTAACCACGCTTGTCCTCCCGCACCGCAGATCGCAAAGATCGTCGATGCCGCAGACGTAGTTGGGCCTTTCTTTCTCGTAAGTCCTTCGTCCCATCTCCTGGCAACCCCGGGCGCCTGTGATTAGCGGCCGAGGAACTGCTAAAAGTAAAACCAAACCTAACCCTCATCAGGGCCCGTTTATAACCTTTGTCGACGTCTCCATCGCGCCGTGGCTCCTGCGCCTGTCGCGTGTTCTTCACCCATATAAGGGATGGCCATTGGCTCAACCTGGGACGCGCTTGGCCACATGGATTAACGCGCTGGAGGGTAGCGAGGCAGTCGGGAATACCCTGAGTGATCCTGTGCTGTATTTGGAGAACTATGAGAGGTATGCTGGTGAGTCGCCTAATGGCTGAGGTTTGGTTCTGATATAGTTGGTTTGCCGGCGCTGATAAGTGGTGGTGGACAGAGAATCGACCGGATACGAGCCTGGTTGCGAGGGCTGTTAATGCAGGTAGAGGACTGCCGTAGTGGTTGGAGGGGGGTAATTGGGTTTTCTTAATATTCTTATTGGTTTTATTATTGTTGTTGTTTGTTTTGTGAATCTTTCCTTTTGTAATGATCGTTTGATGTCCAACTTGACCAGCTGCAGCAAGCCAACCAGTCGGCCAACCCCTAATGAAACCAAATATGTACCTAGCTATGATTAAAGTTTTTCTTTTTTTTTCTTTTTTTCCCTCCCAAATAATTTAGCAATAGTTAGTTTTCCGCGTATCAAGCGATAAACCTATCAAACGTTGAACCACAGCAGCAAACCCCGCCCGCTTCCCTGATCGTTTCCCGATTTTACCATCCCGCCATTTGCCCATTTCCCCATTTCCAGATCTCATAAGCGTGTGCCAGTGACGGTAAGCTGCATTCACACAATTCCCTTCGCCGGTCGTGATTACTCTGATCGATCTGATACACAACCCCCACCCTCCTGTCCTGTCAGATGTGTCTCTCGCGATCACTCAGTCGCTCTCCCGCTGGCGGGAAATGTTAAAGTAGCTGTCAAGGTAGCTCTGTTTCTCTCCCGGTAGATGGGCGCTTTTTTTTTTTAAGGTTTTTCGATCTGTGATCTGATCTGTACCGAAGATGCGCAACAGCCCGAAAGGTTGCTTGGACCCTCTCTCGACACAAATTGAGGAATGGGCGGATATGATATCGAATAAATCACGTTTTATATATATATATATATATGCTGTGGAATGGGCTTTGCTTGCCTTGCTCGCTGCCAGGGCGCGCTGTGCGTAATGCAAGATCTACCCAATTTAAGATTTATAGGGGCACGAGGCTCGCAGGTTGAAGCAGCAACGATGACGGGAGACATCGTGGCTTTTTCAATTGGGTCGTGGGACGTCCCCGTTACATAACAAATGGCGCGCCTATTAGCCAACGGGCCCATCATGAGTAACAAGAAACAAAGTGTATTTTACCCCACCGGTGTCATTCCTTCGCGCCGGTTCGGTGGGGCGTACTCTATTAGTAGAGTTCTGGTCCTGCCTGTCCCTGAGGAGGTGGCCGACCACTACGGGAGAGAAACAGGCTGTCAAGTAGGGCAGCTGTCCATCAAAAGCAGGGCAGGGCAGGGCAGGGTGAAGCAGGGTAGGGGGTGAAGAGGGCAGGGGGTGAAGCAGGGAAAGCAAGGCATGGCAGGGTCACAGAAAACCTACCTACATGTGCTTTACATACCATAGAACTTGGGTTGACGTTGACTATTTTCATATCATTGACCTCCGCACAGTACTTGCGCTATGTCCACGATGTGCCTGCCAATCCACCCTAAACTAGCCCACTCGCTTCCCTCTGCCCAACCCAACCCCAAATTACCCGCATGAACGAATAATGACGTCGAAACGCACTATCCCCTCCACGGTCGGGTTGCAGCGGCAGTGGCTCGTTCGGCTGCTGTCAACCGAGGCGCAACAACGGGACGTTTTCTTTCCTTCTTTCCCTTCGCCAGGGGTTGTGAAGTGGGTTGTGTTGGGTGGGCCGGATCAGTATTCCGTCCAATAAAGACCCTGCGGAGAATGGTGATCGCCCAGTTTTTCTTTTGGAGGGTGGTGGACGGGATCCCGTCGCTGGCTGGTCTGGTACCCTGCAGTTCACTCGGGGGATCGTGAATGAGAGTACCTGGAAGAAAGGACACGAGACGTGACTGATGGTGCACTCGATGCGAGAAACAGGCTTTTTCGTTGCCCTCTCATTTCTTCGTTCGCTCCTTGCAGGAGTTAGAGTAGTAAAAACTAGAGTTTATCCTTCACTTTTTAATTATTGAACCACTAATCTAAGGCCGCAATCCCAATTTCGCAGGGAATTGGGAGGCGAAAAAAGTGGAAGCTATATCCGCTCAAAGATAAAGGTGGAAGACAGTACGTCCGCTCCAAGATAAAAAAGGTGGAAGACACGTCCGCCGTGGATGTCCCTCCTGTAAAGGCTTCTGGAAATAGTGCTGTTTTCGTTGCTTTTGCTTTTGGCAAAAGCCGTGAACGGTCGACTCATGAAGGGTCACTCTTCTTTTTCCTCTCTGATACTCTTGGCTCAACTAGATCGTATCCACCTGTTGTAGGCAGGGCCTTGTCTTAGCCATGTACCCTAGAGTAGAGAACTCTGGAGATGGCCATTACTCTGTACCTGACCCGTGTATCCTTCTTGTAGAAACGGGGGCTGAATTGCCTAGGGTAACTTACAGTAACTTGTTTCTTTATTTCCGGCCTTGCAATGTCACGGAATATGCGAGTGCGTCGTTATTCACAATGTAAGTGACCCAGCCAGACGGTGTGGTTGTTTCGAAACGAAACTGGCCACCTTACTTTGCCTCACGATTTCATGAACCCTTCAATATGCAAGGAGGAGAGAAAGAAAAAACGGGTAACCGTCTGTCTTGGTGTGGATTCGGACACTAGAATAGACCCTTTGCTCCGCATACCAGAACACGGACCCGGACACAGGCCTGGACCAGGCACAGGTTTGACCACACTCCATGTGAGACTGCACACCACCTCACACGATGTTGGGACAGGGTCGAGTGATAGCTGTGACTGAGAAGCACATTGCATACAAAGTGGATAGAGAGTAACTAATAGTAGTAATTATTAATAGTAATAGTAATGCCACTACTAGACGCATTTGCTGGGGTATGATAATTCCCTCTCCCAGGAGATTTCCTCCACCTAGCTGGGGAACAGAAGGGAAAAGGTGTTTAAGGAAGTCATTTTCGTATCTCCAGTCCCTGCCAAGCCTACTGTTTCCGGCGAGGGACTAAGGTGCAGTGGGTGTGGCTAGCTATGTAGATGTAAAGCAGATAGTCCAGGGCCGCCAACCAGACATTAGAACACTAGGTCCATCATTATGACTATGACTGGCTTAATTTTCTGTGTGAGGAAGGGGCAAGAAGAGAAGTTGAAAAAGATGAAGACCCAAAAGAAGAGTGACGTAAGAATAGCGTCCTGTCTGGGCGATCGACAATTGCCGGACCTCGCCGATGAGCGGCAAAAACCTCGATCGTGAAGGGCTGTCGTGGTGCAGGGGAGCAGTTATTGTGCGACTTGGCTCGTTGATGGGCGAACGAACGTCTCTCTCTCTCTCTCTATCTAGGTAATCATTCTTTTACAGACCTACCTACTACTACAGACACATCATCTTTTTGCTCTAGAAGTTTAAGGTGGTAGTGGTGGTTATTGTATCTACCCCTCGGTTGATAAGGGTGTGGCCCCTAAGGTCTCTAACTTCCTGGTTGCAGACCCGCGGGTATGTTGCCAAGAAGGGGCGTTAGCGAGTGAGAGAGCAATGATCAAAATGTCGAGCGAGTGGACCGTAATAACAGCAGTTTAATCAGTAAGGGCAAAGAAGAAAGAAAAAAGTCGTTATGCGTCAAAACCTAATCATCAAAATGGCTATGAGCAGCTTTCGCCCCCCCTCTCTGTGGCTGGTTGACGTTATACAAAGGGCCGCATATGAGGACAGGGTGACCTGCAGCACACTGACCGCGATGGGAAAACATTGACCGCGATGGGAAAAGGTCAATTGTGAAATGGGGGTCTTCTGGCATGGGCAATTTTGTTTCCCCCTTCAACGAGCGGGGCAGGGGTTAGTGGTGGTGGTGGGGCCCGGGATGGCTCGTGTTGCAGGGATGATGATATGGAGAAGTCCCGTCCGCCTGTTGATCGCGTTTGGCATTTTCGCCTGGCCTTGCACAACTTACACCACCACCGCCGCCGCCCCAGGACACACTCACACGCACTCACTCACTCACTCACACTCACTCACATAGAAGACATGCTTGCATCTAGATACTCCAAGTACTTTACTTTATACATACACCATGCATCATCAAGTGCTGCTGCAAACCCACAAACGCCATTGGGAATTGGGGTACATGCCAAAGTGCACATACTTACGGAAGCTAGCCTACAACCACTTTCACTTTTACTACCTACCGCTCATGCAGCCATCGTTCAAAGGGTGCAGCGTATACTACGGTGAGAAAGATAGAGAAGGGAAGGGAAAAGCAAGAAATGAAAAGAAGCATTGCGTTGAGAATGGTAAATGATACTACTGGATGCGGGACTTGGTGCATGACAAGGTTTGATTGCGTAGAATACTACTCTACCAGAAAATATTTTCCTTTTAGACCATCGAGGGCAAGTTAGCAAAGCAAGTGGGATTTGGGGCATGTTACTGCTACCTTTACCATGTTCTCTTCTGTTGCCTGAATTGTGCTATGAGATATCTCACTTATACCTTGCCTGTTTGAGGAAAGGTACACACATTCTTGTTCCTTCCTTCCACCAGTTCACAGTAACGTCCCCCCCCCCCCCTCGCTCCTCCCCCTTCCAAAATAATCTCTAAATCCCCAATCCCATACTCCCTGTTCGGTCATTCCCACCACTCCCCCCTTCACGTCCCCCACTAGGAACTAGAGTAGTTAGGTTTAGTGGTTTCCATCTCTTCCGCTCTTCTCTAACACAAACCACCGGTGCACCTCCTCCACCTCCACCAGACCCAGTCCATCCGCTACTGCGTACCCTACATACCCACTACATATGCACACAACGTGCCCTACACACTCTTATTTGACTAGCACATCTCGTCTGTCTCTCTCCGCGGCGAGGAACATAAAGCGAAGGGCGCCACCCACACACACCTGGGAGAAGGCGTCACCAATTGGTTTGCATTTGTCAACTTACAGGGTGATCACCATCCTCCTCTTCCCTATATCTATTTCATACTCCCACCCGTTCTGTACCTCTATTGCGCCCTGCCTACCAGCTCTTCCCCCCATTACAGACACATCGATCTACTATTCCGTCTGATTGTAAGAAACGAAAGAAAGAAATAAGAAGCTGTTGTATCTTACATCATCCTTGTCACTCAATACCACCCCCCGCCACTACTACTGTCACAATCACATCACATAACGACCACCCGCCATCTTTTTCGACAACGTTGAAAGACATATTTTCTTATTCAACAATAACTTGCTTATC